TTGGTGAAGAACCGAGCTCCCTTGAGCTTGTTGATGAGATCATTGATCAGGGGGAGCGGGTAGCGGTTCTTCACTGTCATCGCGTTTAGCGCTCGGTAATCTTGGACAAACCGTAAGGTGCCATCTTTCTTCTTCACAAAGAAGACGGGAGACGCCATGGGCGATTTTGACGGCCAAATCCTGCCAGTAGCCATGCCCTCCTCGATGAAGCTGTCGAGCTGCTTCTGTTCGAGAGGGGAGATGGGGTAGACCTTACAGTTGGTCGGCTTCGCGTCAGGAACCAGTTCAATGGCGTGGTCCCAGGGGCGTCGCTCTGGCAGGTTGTCGAAGGACTCCTTGCTGAAAACATCTTCGAACTCGCGGGCCCACTCGGGGATGGTATCCCGAGGAGGTGCAGAGTTCTTAGCAAACGCCTCGGCAAGTCGCTGGGAGACGGTGCTGGTGGCTCGGATGTTTTCAGAAGGGTTGAAGCGGGTGTAAAAGATACGGTCACCGGCTTCCAAGGAGTCGTCATCTTCTTCGACATCTTCAGGGTCATAATCGTCCGAGTCTGGCGAAAGCTCCGGCATCTCTTCGTCCTCGTGGTCCTCAACGTCGACAGCGCAGATGGATGGAACCGGACCTTGTCTGATGGTGCGAAGCACCTGGGCCGCGGTTCTGGCAGATCGACGTTCTTCGCAAAGTTCCTCCCAGCAGGTGGAGCAACCAGAAGGGCAACGGCTCATTTTTACCTCCTGGGTATCCCAGTTGATCTCCGGGTTGTGCTTCCGGAGCCAGGAGTACCCTAGAATGAGCTGCTGCTTGCCTAAACGGGTGACAGCAAGCTGCACGCGTTCACTGTGGCCCTGGTAACGGAGAACCACATCAGCAACTTCGCGAATGGAACCGGCCTCGTTCGGCGTGCCGTCCATGTTGTAAACGGGGATAGGCTGGGTGAGGCGACGAACGGGGAGGTGATTTTCGAGGACGTAGGCCGAGTCGATGAAGTCGGATGTGGCACCACAATCGACCAGGCCTTTGAGAGATAACTTCACTGCGTTGTCGGTGGACTCGATCTCGAGGGGGAGGTGGAGAGAATTGGCCCTGGGAGAGGCGGCAGCGACATAGCAGGAAGGGAGCTTGCGTTCCCACTTCTCCTTACGGACTCGTGGGGTTAGAGGGGGAGCAGGGTGTACGTCTATCGCTTCAACTGTTGCAGAGTGGAGGGAATTGGATTCATCATACAAACAGGAGAAACGATTACGTGAAGCGAACGAGGGCGTACTACTCACTCGTCGCTGGGGAGAAAACCCTGCTCCTCCTCGGCTGCGACGTTGGACGCATGATCCGCAACGGCTGCAGTGGTCGCGACCCGAGCAACCAACTCGGAAAGCAGATCACTCCCCAGCTGATTGATGACCTCATCAAGGACATCAGCGTGACGTATGTCAGCTGGGGTGGGGCAGTCACGGGCAAGATGACCCGGACTGCCGCAGCGGAAGCAGGTGCGTCGAATGTCACCACGGAGCTGGGCCCGGTCTACCTCCATGGGAATTGGATGGGCGACAGGGGCGGGCGCCGGGCGGGCAGCGAGGGCCGGTGCTACAGCAGGGAGCACTGGGGCACGAGGACGGGGGGCAACAGCAGGCGCTCGGGGAGGAGGCGCTGCGTGGCCTCGAGAAGCTCTGGCAGCGAGTTCCGCATTGTACTGCCGGAACGCATGGACACGCCATTCGGCGTAGTCGGTGAGACTGGGAGGGTTACCAGAGGTGGTGATGGCTTGGTTGATCTTCGGGTCCAAGCCCGTCCTATATTTGGTCACCTTGACCAAGTTGTCGGTATAACCAGCGAGGTCAAGGAGGTCGTCGTACTCGTCCGTGTACTTGAATACGTCGCGGGAGCCCATATAATACTGATGGGTTTCCAATCGTGCCAAGGCGTGGTCTTGCTCGTTCTCCTCAACGAATCGGAGCTTGAACTCGGTGACGAACAAAGCCCAAGTGGGGAACGGGAATGGGGTGCGCTTGGACATGCGCTCGGACCAGGAGGCCGCCGAATCCTTGGACATGTAGGAGAGGGCAAAGCGGACTACCTTCTCCTCAGCGACTACCCCATTCACAAAGAACGCCTCGGGAAGCAGTTGCCAGTACTGCTTCACCGAGTGCAAGAAGCTCTTGCCCAAGGTGCGATCCCCATCGAACGAGAAGGGGGGGTTGGGACGGATGGGGGGGCGCGCAGTGTTCGACTGCGGGCCAGCAGAAACACCTGGACCCACTGCCGGAGCTGGTGCAGGGGCAGGGGGTTGTGGTTGGTTGAGGAGCTGATTGAGTACGGCTTCGATGTTCTGGATGCTGGTCTCCAGGGCAGACAGTCGATGCTGGGAGTTGTTGTCTTCCATGCTGGTCGAGTGTGCCTGTGGAGGGGAGGAGGGGGCAAGAAAAGAGGTGACGGATTGGCGGTCTTGGTCGCTCGTCGACTCGTCTCCGCTGTTACTGTCGGCGTCGAACCTCGCAATCTTGACCAGTTATCCCTAGGAACACGGTTTCTGCTGTAAGGGCAACCTCGAGACCCGATCTCAGAGTTCTGGCAAGGGAGAATCCAAAGTGTCAATAGTGGTAGCTAGGTACAAGACCGGCATACCTGGCAAGGGAGAATCCAAAGAGAAACCGTGTTGGGGATTCTCCTTGCCAGGCGCCACTATTTATATGATACAAGAACAATAGAGCACGCAGCGACAAACAAAGAACAATGGGAACAATAAGTACAATGGCCATTGGAGAACAATAGGAAACCGAGACAGTGGGAACGATGGGACAGCTGACCATGTGCCCATCAGAGAGAAGCGCTTGGCGCGGCAGTCCGGGCCGCGGCGCGTGACAGCTGACAGGTCACGCGAGCGCGATCACATGCCTGATCGAAGGCAGAGCGGTCCAAAGCGGGGGTTCCCCTGACATTTTATGAGATCCCGCGGCAACCTGCCTAGCTACGTTGATGTTGGAGGTCCAGATGGATGTTTCTCCGGCGAGAATGGGTGTAAGTTGAATCGTTTCCCGCGCTTGTAGACTTGAATCGAATCAGATGTCGCAAGAGCAAACTTGGAGGCTTAAAACACTCATGGTCAAAACGAGATTGTCATAGTTCGGCCACTTTTTCATCTTATCTTCGACGATCTTATCTTATCTCGGCACGGCTTATCTTATCACGGATCACGGCATCAGACGGCCCGGGCTAGGGGTTCGAGGGATTATCCTTATCGATTCAAGGCTGTGCGACATATGCTCCGGAAGGTTCTACTACAACCCATGACCAGTGCTCCATACGGTACATAGCCTTATGACTCATTAGTTGTAGATATGACTCAGACTGGATTTGGGTATAAATACTGTAGCTACCTGGTTGTATTCTCCAGTCTTCGAATTCACTTCTCTTTTCGACTTTGTTTTTGGGTTGATTGTCACAGAGATCTCCAGTGGAATCCTGTGCCTGCAACCATCCAGGGGTGAGCTGGAAGCAGTGCACCCGGCAGACCCAGTGGTGTGAACGGGCTCATCAGTCTCGGAAAGTATCTCTGAGCCTGATGTGCCGCTTATTTGTATGGGGATTCTGCCTATCCACATCAGCGCACTCACCGTCAAGATGTGTGTGCATTTGATGATTCGTAGGAACAGATATGTGAGTAGAGCTGAGAGAACATATGCCTCAATGTGCAGCTGAGGCATTGCTGCTCAGCAAAGGAGCGTAGAAGCAAAGATGGTGGCAAGTCAAGAAGAAGCACAGGAACGAGGCCTCGATAGTTTCCACGGACGTCAAGAATGCCATGATCTGGCACCATGAGTTCCCACCAGCATTCTGTCCCTCCGAGAACCTCTCCAGGTAGGGTTGACCAAAAAGGACATGGTCTGTTTTTGGTAAGTGCGATCAAGATTCGACGATGGGGTCTCTAGCGTCACATTGTGACTTTTTTTTGTAGTCAGTACACATATGTACGACCGCTTTGTCAATGAACACCCATGTTACTGACACGTAGGCCGTCTTGGCGCGCTCTCCCCACCGTATGGTATGCGACTTTTATACCTTTCGAAAACATCCACGGAAGAGGGGCACAAATGGGGCAAGGTCAGACACGCGCTGTGTATGCGGGACGGCAGAGACATGGGCTGGGAAACGCTTCTGTAAACACGGTGGGAAAACACACAATCTGGATGATATATATATCTTGAGCCCGGGCGGCCTCTTTCTTCGTCATGGCGCCGTGCATCAAGTGGAGCGCTCAGTTTCCCAGGCTTGCTCAAGGCAGGCCTATCTGGCATCAACTGGGCGGGGGTACAGGTATGGCTCTTTTTTCGTGCTTTGGATACATGTAAGCTCACATCTTTGCCGGCCCCCAGTGTCATAACCGCTCCCTTGTGTATGGGCAGTTGAAGGGCGTTCTGTGTGACCGTGAGCCTAAGCATTCGGCAAGGCTCCCAGTCCGGTCCTTGATCACCGCTGACGACGGCTCCACACCCGGACGATATTTGTCTTGACGTTGCTTGCATTTCCGGAGCTGCAGATACCATTGTCAAGGGACACTCCGAGGCCAGTGCGTTCAGCTCAAGCTTGGACAGACGATTCTTACTAACTCTCCCAGAAAGCTTGTCCAAAACTGCGCCTCATGTTTCTGTGAATACAGTGGGAAAGCACATGGTCCAGACAATATATCTTGAGCCCGTGTGGCCTCTTTCTTTGTGATGGCGCCGTGCATCAAGTGTAGTGCTCTGTTTCCTCAGCTTGCTCAAGGCAGGGCATGCAACAAGTGCACTCAGCTGAACCAGGCCGGTCTGTCTGACATTGACCGGGCTGGGATACAGGTATGGCTCTTTTTTTTGTGCTTCGGATACATGCGAGCTCACATCTCCACAGGCAAAGCCCCAGTGTCATAACTGCTCCCTTGTGTACGGGCAGCTGAAGAGCGTGCTGTGTGTACCGTGCACAAAAGCATTCGGCAAGGCTCTTAGTCTGGTCCTTGATCACCGCTAACGATGTCTCCAGACCCAGACAATATTCCTCTTGATGTCGCTTGCATTCCCGGAGCTACAGATGCCATTGTCAAGGCACACATCGAGGCCAGTGTGTTCAGCTCAAGTTTGGACAAATGATTCTTACTAACTCTTCCGGAAAGCTTATCCAAAACGGCGCACGTCAAACACAAATCTGCTCAAGGCTCAGCACGCACGTCTGAACAGTGGCAGCTCGGGTCTGGGGAGTGGGTCCACTCCGGCTGGACAAGCACTCGTTCAGCAGATGCAACAAACTCGACTGAAGGAGTTCATGGTGACGTTCACAGCCACGTTTGCATTGTCGCAACAGAAGAAGAATGGAACGAGTACATTCACTGTGGTACGTGCACGCAAATCCAAGACATGTTCCCCCTCTTCATACCAATGTAGGTTCCGGAGGTCTCATTCAATCACTCTGTAGACGACAACGACGCAATTGAGACCACCCTCGATGCTTGTGTACTCAAGGCTCACAACTACCACAAGAAATCGTTCCAATCCAAGGGCGCAAGGCCAATCTATAAAAACGACGTCACCTTTTACATCCTGCCCTCGGGAGCCTTGACAAAACCAGTTCGACTCTCTTTTGAGTTTTCTGTGGGGAAGACAGCGAAACAAGTCCTCCTTGGGCTGTACAGCGACCGGACAATTGCCGATAGCCAGCTCAACAATAAGACTATCAATTTGCGCCTCATTGTTGATCACGGGGCCATCGTAAGTCAAGGGCGCCATCTTCCTTACAGTGGCTGATGATCCACCAGTATGGCGACTACGATGGCACCAGCGGTGGACCTTCCAGTGCTCCGTGTCGCATAAGTAGTGTCCGAGGAAGCAGCACCCGGTTGCGTAGTGCATCTGCTAATTGGGACATTGAACGCCGAAACGGCGTGCTCATCCGGAAAAGCGCTTACATCCCTCGCAATGCTCTGGCCCGGCCTACGTCCCCAATTTGCCAGCGTCCCCAAGCCAAGCTGGCGGCGTACAAATTCCAGTGGTACTTGACCACTGGTACTGGCCAAGACATGGCTTTCAAGCTTGATTCAAAGGCAGAACTGATGCGCGTGGCGGACGACTGGGTGGAGGGGAAGGAGTCAATGAGCAAGGGCAATGACATGTTCTAAAATACCAGCTACATCGGCCGTGGCTACACCAAGATGGTGGTATATGTATGACCACTCGGACTGCAAGCTTTTGAGATGAACTCATGGTTCCGACAGGGGCGCTTGCTGGCTGGTGGCAAAGAATACGCAATTGCTCAAGCTTCGGATCTGCAACACCCCGAGTACGATCATCTCAGCATCCTTCAAGACGAGTTGCGTATGCTCTCTATTGGTGACACACTGATGTCAGCGTTCATCTCTTTCATATGCGATGAAGCTGCCGAGGTTCCATCCTGGATTACAAACCATCTCAGTGCGACTAGTGAGTTGGTAAGACCACGGATTGTAGACTCGCTGATGACAAAACTTGCAGAGTACAAGTTCAATATCAAAGACGCCTTTGTTGGCAAGTTCATTAGTGATGGCAGTATAGAGGAGGATTTCATCTCCGAGCGCCTTCCGCATGCCCATTTCCTAGCAACGCTGTAAGGGCAACCTCGAGGCCCGATCTCAGAGTCCTGACAAGGGAGAGTCCAAAGCGTCAGATAAGAGGATCGACTAGTACAGGAGACTGGCAAACCTGACAAGGGAGAGTCCAAAGAGAAACCGAGTTGGGGACTCTCCTTGTCAGGGCCCACTATATATAGCCTACAGAACAATGGATGACCAAGCACAATGGAAGCGCCAGACAATGGGGCCAGGGAACGATGAGGGGCCGGATCGGGGGGAACAATGGGAGCCGGACCGTCGGAACAATGGGGGTCTGGGCCGGAGTGTCATGTGGACGTGCTTGGCAGGGAAGTCCGGACCGAAGCATGTGACGCTTGACAGATGGCACGTGCGCGGTCACATGCGAGATCCCATGATGATCGGACGAAAGCAGGGGTTCCCCTGACATCACCCCCCCTCTTGATTGCGGCGCCTCAACGCAAGGTACGGTTGGGGGCCGATGAGTTCCTGAAGGGTAGCGAGTCAAATACGGCTGCTGCAATGACGCGTGGCTTTCCCGGGTATCTGCGGTAGAACGCTGCCACTGCGTCGTCAGCAAAAACATCTGAGTGCTTGACCCACTGGTCATGAGACGGGTCGTAGCCCTTCCATCGTACTCGGAACCAGACACTCCGGTAGCACATCTTTGCGTCTAGGATCTCCTCCACTTCCCACTCCTCTCCTTCGCCTTGTCCCAGGACAGGGGGTGGTTCCTTGTGACGCGGGCGAGTGGGGAACGGGTCGTCTTCGGCCAACTGGAGCTTGACCACAGGGAAGACTGGGTGGAGGCGAGAGAGGCTGGTGGGGAGGGCGAGCTTGTATGCGCCCCGGCCTACGACTTGGGTGACTTTGAAGAGGCCCAGGCGTCGGTGGGAGAGGCCGCGAGAGGGTCGTGTTGTCGTGATGTCTGAGGCGTCGAGCCAGACTCGGCTGCCAACCTTGATGTCGGGAGCGGTAGTCCTTTGTTGGTCATAGTACCTCTTGTACTCGTCCTTTGCTTTGACAAGTGCCGATTTAGCCTCGGTTACACCCGATGCGACCCAGTCCAGAAACTCGTTGGCGGACTCTGCTCGGGTGGAGCGCTGCTCTGTTGGCTTGAATCCCATGCGTGGTAAACGTCCTGTGTCCGTCATGAAGGGAACCTGCTGGGTCGAGGAGTGGACGTGGTTGTTGTAAGCGAACTCAGCTGCGGGCAAGAGCTCATCCCAGTCGTCCTGCTTGTAGCTGGTGAAGATCCGGAGGTACTGCTCCAACTCCTGGTTGACCCGTTCAGTCTGGCCATCAGTCTGCGGGTGGTAAGCGGTGGACGTGGCAGGGGAGACGCCAACCAGCTTCCATAGCTCTTGGGTGAAGTCTGCCACAAACTGAGGGCCACGGTCCAAGACGTATTTGATGGGTAATCCGTGGTGTCGCCAGACATGCTTGTAGAACAACCAAGCCATCCCTTCGGCCAAGAGGCGAGTGTGGCACTCGATGAAGTGGGCACGCTTCCCCAGCATATCAACGACCACCATGATGGCGTCGTAGCCGTGCGCCTCAGGCAGCTCCACGATAAAGTCCACCGACACCGATTCCCAACGTTCCGAGGGGATCTCCGTGGGATGAAGCTCTCCGGTGGGGAGTCGTCGGAGGGCCTTGGTCCGACAGCACAGGTCGCAGGTGGCCACGTACCGGCCAACATGTCGTGAGAGCTGGGGCCACCAGTAGTTCCGGGAGACCAGCTCCAGCGTCTTGAAGCGGCCAGCATGCCCCGCAACGCGGGTGTCATGATGTTGCTCAAGGATGCGTTGCCGTAGGTCTCTGTCACGCGGGACCACTAGCTTCCCACGGAAGTAGAGGAGGCCGTCCTGGATGCGCCATTCCGCTGCTACAGCGGAGCGGGCCCCCTTCATCCCTTTCAGAAGCCGTTGCGCTATAAGCGCAAGTTCTTCCTCAAGGTCAGGGTCACCGGAGAGCGATTCCCGAATGTCACGGACAAGCGGGGCTTCTGGGCCAGAGACAGACAGCCCTTCGAGTGCTCACACATGGAACAGTTCCGGTTTCAACAGGGTAACGTCCGTGTTGTCCGAAGGGGCTCCGTGGTCCGGGCATCAGGAGAGTGCGTCTGGTCGTCCCATGAGCCGGCCGGGTTGGTGGTGGAGCGTGAAGTCGAAGCGGGATAGGTAGAGCGACCATCGGGCTTGCCGGCGATTGAGGTTCTGGGCCTTGCGGAAGTACTCCAGGTTCTTGTGATCGGTCCAGATCTCCACCGGGTACTCGGCGCCCTCCAAGAAGTGCCGCCACTCCTCCAGCGCACGCACAATCGCGAGCATCTCTTTGTCGTGGATCTCGTAGTTGCGCTGGACGTTGTTAAGGCTTTTGGAGAAGAAGGCGACTGGGTGCCACTTGTCGTCTGAGGGGGACTGCTGCGAGATGACGGCTCCTGTGGCAAAATCGGAGCTGTCAGCCTCTAGGCGATAAGGACGGGAGGAGTCTGGGAGGAGAAGAACCGGCGTAGAGGTAACTGCCTCCTTCAAGGCCTGGAACGAAGTGGACTCGTTGTCGCCCCAAGACCATGGTACGTCCTTCTTGGTGAGGTCAAAGAGCGGGCGTGCAACGTGCGAGAAGTCCCGGATAAACCTCCGATAGAAGTTAGTGAACCCAAGGAACTGCTGCACTTCCTTCTTGTTAGAGGGGGCCGGCCATTCGGCCACGCCTGCCACTTTGACGGGGTCCATCTCGACGTGGTTGTGGGAGATGATCACGCCGAGGTACTCGATGGACTCCATCTCGAATTCGCACTTCTCGGCTCGGAGGTACAACTTGTTTTCGCGGAGGCGCCGGAGGACTTTGTTCACAATACGACGATGGAGGTGAGGATTGGAGTGCGCAATGAGGATGTCGTCCAGGTACACCATGACGTCGCCCGAGAGGATGAGGTCCTGGAGGATGTCATTCATCATGGTCTGGAACGTCGCAGGGGAGTTGGTAAGGCCAAAATACATCACCAGTGGCTTGAAGAGCCCACGGTTGGTCCAAAACGCAGCCTTCCACTCGTCTCCTTCTCGTATCCGTACGTTGTTGAAGCCCCATCGAACATCGAGTTTGGTGAAGAAGCAGGCACCCTTGAGCTTGTTGATCAGGTCGTTGATCAAGGGGAGGGGGTACCGATTCTTCACTGTCATTGCATTCAGTGCCCGGTAATCCTGGACAAACCGTAGGCTGCCATCCTTCTTCTTGACAAAGAAGACAGGGGAGGCCATGGGGGACTTCGAGGGTCGGATTCGGCCGGTGGCCATGCCTTCTTCGATGAAAGCGTCGAGCTGCTTCTGCTCCAAGGGGGAGATAGGGTAGACCTTGCAGTTTGTTGGCTTTGCATCGGGCACCAGTTCGATGGCGTGGTCCCAAGGGCAACGTTCCGGAAGATTGTCGAAGGATTCCTTGCTGAAAACATCCTCGAACTCGCGCGCCCACTTGGGTATGGAATCTCGAGAGGGGGCGGAGTTCTTAGCAAACGCCTCTGCAAGACGCTGGGAGTCGGTGCTAGTGGCTCGGATGTTTTCAGAAGGGTTGAAACGGGTGTAGAAGATACGGTCACCGGTTTCCAGACAGTCTTCCTCTTCATTGGAATCTTCTCCGTCGTCTTCCTGGAGTAGCGGCATAGCCTCGTCTTCGCGGTCTTCCATGTCGACGACGCAGATGGAGGGGGCAGAGCCTTGTCGGGCTGACCGGAGTGCTCGGGCCGAAATTCGGGCTATCCGTCTCTCTTGGCGAGACTCCTCGGTGCAGGTGGAGCAGCCGGACGGGCAGCGGCTCATCTTTACTTCCTGCGTGTCCCAGTTAATTTCCGGGTTGTGCTTCCGAAGCCAAGAGTAGCCGAGGATCAGCTTCTGCTTGCCGAGCCGAGTGACAGCAAGCTGGACCCGCTCACTGTGTCCTTGGTAACGCAGGACCACATCGGCGACTTGTCGAATGGAGCCAGCTTCGTTTGGCGTGCCGTCCACATTGTAGACTGGGATAGGCTGGGAGAGCTGCCGGACCAGAAGTCAGTTTTCGGAGGCGTAGGTGGAGTCGATGAAGTCCGACGTGGCACCGCAGTCGACCAGTCCGTTGAGAGAGAGCTGGACTGCGTTGTCAGTGGACTGGATCTCCAGGGGGAGGTGCAGGGAGTTGGCGCCAGGGGAGGCCGCAACTACATAGCGCTGAGGGAGTTTTCGTTCCCACTTTTCCTTGTGGACCAGCGGGACTGAGCGGGGGGCAAGAGGTACGTCTATCGTTTCGTTTGTGGGGGAAATGAGGTCGCATTCATCATACAGACATTCGAAACGATTACATGAGGCGATCGAGGGCGTACTATTCACTCGTCGCGGGGGAGAAAACCCTGCTCCGACTCGTCGGCAATCTCCGCTTCATGCTCTTCTACGGCCGCTGTGGTTGCTAGCCGGGCTACTAATTCCGCCAACAAGTTGCTTCCCAGCTGATTGATCACTTCGTCCAGGACGTCGGTGTGCCGGACATCAGCAGGGGTCGGGCAGTCTCGGGCCAGATGTCCCGGGCTGCCGCACCGGAAGCATGTGCGACGAACACTGCTGCGGGCTCGGGTTCGGTCGATCTCCATGGGAATGCCCGGTGGGAGGACTACCGGGGCTGGTCGGGGAACAGGGGGTGGGGCGACCACCGGAGGAGCCATGGGGCGAGGGCGGGGGGCCGCAGGAGGCGGAGCGCGGGATGGAGAAAACACCTGTCCTCGTGCAGCTCGGGCAGCCACCTCGGCGTTGTACTGGCGGAATGCACGGGTACGCCACTCCGAGTAGTTTGTGAGGCTAGGCGGGTTACCGGAGGTCGTGATCGCCTGATTGATTCTGGGGTTCAGACCCGCCCGGTACTTGGTGACCTTGACCAAGTTGTCAGAGTAACCCGCCAAGTCGAGAAGGTTGTCCAACTCGTCTGTGTATTTGAACACGTCGCGGGATCCCATGTAGTAAGCGTGGGTCTCCAGTTGTGCCAGGGCGTGGTCTTGCTCGTTCTCCTCGACAAACCGGAGCTTGAACTCGGCCACAAAGGAGGACCAGGTCGGAAATGGGAAGACGAGGCGCTCTGACATGCGTTCTGACCAGGAGGCCGCCGAGTCCTTGGACATGTAGGAGAGGGCGAAACGTACCACCCGCTCTTCTGATACTACCCCGTTCACATGGAAGGCCTCAGGGAGGAGGCGCCAGTATTGCTTGACGGAATGGAGAAACGTCTTGCCCTGGGTGCGGTCCCCGTCAAACGCGAATGGGGGGTTGGGGCGGATGAGGGGCCTCGTGTTGGCCTGTTGGCCAATAGATACACCTGGACCCACTGCCGGAGACGGAGCAGGGGCAGGGGCAGGGGCAGGCTGTTGCTGTGTAATTATGAGATTATGGAGGAGGCCTTCCATCTGTTGCATGGCTTCCTCTAGATTCGCAAGCCTTTGTTGGGGGTGGGAGGGGTCGTCCTCTTCTTCCATTTGGGACATGACGATCGTAGAGGGGGAGGAGGGGACAAGGTTGGAAGTAGGGCTGGGTAAATTTCCTAGCCGTAATTTACAGAGCCGTAATTTACGGTAAATTACACGTATCTTACCAATTTTACCGGGAGGGCCCCAGATTTCATGTAAATTTTGGTAATTTTCTCCGTTCAGCAAATGAAACCTTGGACTTGTCCTGAGTGATAATCAGTGGCTCTGCCTGTCACACATTTTTTGTCTTGATCTCGTCCTGCTTCAGCTGCTGCCATGGATCAAAAAGCGCACTAAAAGCTGGTGTCTGCTGGCCTTAATTTCCTTGATCTGTCCAAGGGAAGAGCTGTCCAACGCTGTGAAAAAGGATGAGCAGGAGGAAGAGCTATCTGTAACCTCCTCCTTCATCCCCCAAAGATTGTGCAGTTGATGACTCTATCACACCTTGCCATCGAGACATTTGTCAATCTCGAGTGCCCTCAGTTGATGGCACACCTGTATTTGAGCAAGAAGGGGAATGAAGCTCAGGGAAGTACAACTCGACAGAAATCTGCAGCAGCCACTCAGTCTCAAGCTGATTGGAAGCCCGAGAATGTGTCCTGGACAAGCAGATGGTAGTAATTTACATATTTTACAGAAATTACAGCTGTAAACTACCCGTAAGTTACCGGATTTTTCGGGCCGGCGGCACCGGTAAATTACCAAAAATACAGACACCTCGTATTTTACCACAGAGCCTGGGGTACCTGCTTGTAAATTACGTATCTTACAGGTCCCAAAACGAAATTTACCCAGCCCTAGTTGGAAGTGAGGAGCGGATGACGCTGTCGGTGGTCTTCACAAGCTTGTCCAGTTATCCCTAGAAACTCGGTTTCTGCTGTAAGGGCAACCTCGAGGCCCAATCTCAGAGTCCTGACAAGGGAGAGTCCAAAGCGTCAGATAAGAGGATCGACTAGTACAGGAGACTGGCAAACCTGACAAGGGAGAGTCCAAAGAGAAACCGAGTTGGGGACTCTCCTTGTCAGGGCCCACTATATATAGCCTACAGAACAATGGATGACCAAGCACAATGGAAGCGCCAGACAATGGGGCCAGGGAACGATGAGGGGCCGGATCGGGGGGAACAATGGGAGCCGGACCGTCGGAACAATGGGGGTCCGGGCCGGAGTGTCATGTGGACGTGCTTGGCAGGGAAGTCCGGACCGAAGCATGTGACGCTTGACAGATGGCACATGCGCGGTCACATGCAAGATCCCATGATGATCGGACGAAAGCAGGGGTTCCCCTGACAAACGCCTCTGCTCCCTTGCGGACCAACGGATAAGAAGCTTTACAAGTTCACTGGCAACAATGACTGCAGAGATGAACCAAAGACCCTGGCGTGTTTGCTCATGCACGCCTTCACTCATTGGATGTCCATCTATACGGGGAACGATTTGATTCTCTGTGATCTCCAAGGTACGTCAAACGGCTGGGAAGGGTGCACGCCAGCTGATTCTGACATTTAGGAATCAAAGAGAATGCAAGCAGTTGGGTTCTCATTGATCCACAAATGCATACGTGAGCTGCGAACATCTCCTTAGCAAATTTGTTATGTACCCACTGACTTGTTATCCGCAGATCTCAGAGTGATTGCCATCGGCGCAAGTATTGGGACAAGGGCCCGCAAGGCATTCAACAGTTCATTGCGCATCACTTGAAGACTTGCAATGAGAACAGCTTCTCCTACGGTCTCAACCTGAAGGAGCTCCAGTATGTAGTTGATCGACCAAAAACACCGCCTGGGAAGAAACATCATTCTGCTCCGGGACCACACTCACCGGAGAACAATCGCAAAAAGAATCGCGGCTCCCTGAATGATATTCTCGATCTATCTGAATAAGTAGCTCACTGTTTTACATCACATATGTAGCTTGAATAAGTACTTCCTAGTCTACCAAGTAGGAGCAGTAAAGCCACGCTCGGGAAAGACCTCAGGAAGCATAGCTTGAAAGATCCTCCAGCCGTTATCCATGGTAAACGCAACATTACCCAGAGTATTGAATACGGCTTGAGCCTGGGCAGAGAACTCCGATGTAGTGAACTCGAGGAGCGCTTCACCTCCGAGCTTCAGCTTCTCCTCGCGCACCCAATCGAGGTTCACCTCGAGCTTGCAGTCCACTCCTCCCCACTCCTCAAACATCTTGAATGCGTAGTTGCGGCTGTAACCAGAGGGGCCCTTCTTCTCCTTCTGCTTGCGGACAGTGGACGCATTCTGGAAACTGACGGTGGAGTCAAGCTCCTGCTGGAGTACACGCGACCATATCCACCGTGCAAGCTGACTGGAGACAATGTCAGACCGATGTCACCAGGAACTGGGAGACACTTACAGTTGATCAACGTCATGAGGATTGTAGATGCCGGTGATGATGCCCTCCTTGAACAGGTAGACGGCACGGTCACCAAAGTCCAGACGGAGGCGGAACCAGCTTCGTTCCACCGCAACATTGTGGACACTGCGCAGGTAGTTGTGCGCTGGCACGTCCATGACAGAGATATCCGGGTGGAAGGTCGAGCTTTATAGTCGTCACTGAACGTATCCCATGTATGCAAGGAACATACCGCAAAGTCTCCTGGAGCTCCGCCATCTTCGTGGTCTCAGATCCACAGTCTGTTGTGGTCGTAAGGGGTATACCTGCATACGCATGTCAGTCAGTTGCAGGGCGAGTGTCTACAGAACACTGACCACCGTACCTTTCCACAAGACAGAGGTACAGGTACGCTACAACATCCTTCATCCGATTGCTGGGCACAACCCAGGCGCCGAGGGTCTTGCCAGTGGCATAGTCGACGATTGCGTACACCGGGAATCCAATCCCGTACATCTTGTCGTGGCCTGTATGATACTTAGATCCAGGGGGTAGGCGACTTGGAGGATAGCGAAGACATACCGTCACCTGCCCACTTTTCGTGGATACCGAACGGGTACAAGACTGACCTGTATATCTTCTTCGCAGTTGGGTTCCGAAGAGCAAAACCTTCCGGATCGTGCAAGTGCATGATCTCCGAGACGAAGTTCCTTCGTTCGACGTCAGACATGGTCTATGACCAAAGCTGTAACTGTCGACATACCTGGACAAGATCTTACTCGACGCTTGAATCACCTTGTCCCTGATGGACTTGACCCCGAGATGCTTTGTAACGTCCTTATCCAGCTCGTTGATGACCAGCTGAGTGGCGTCTTTCTTGTCGATGCGCTTCATTGTGCCATTGGAGGCAAAAAGCTCAAGATGAGCAAGTCGGCGCTGGACAGTTTTCGCACTGGAATTCGTTCAGCTCCCACGACCACGAGCACGAAATTTACCCTCGAGACAAACCACATCGTAACACCCAAATCCTTCTTGAGGAGCTTCGCGATTCTGCCATACTGGGTGATATTTTCGCCGTGGTAGCTAATGAGAGCCTCCTTGATCTTTTCCTCTTGCTCTTCACCTGAGAACGATGTAAGGAAACGCGCGACGAAGCCTTCGGATGACTACTTGCCTCTTGCCCACTGGTTGCGGCCCTCTGGATTGCGGTTGAAACGAGACATGGGACGTCGGACTTGGAGCTGGCAAGGACGATCACGTTACAGTAGCTGTCATTTTCCGCTATTTACTGAGCACATATGAGCTATAGAGTCACGGAGTGCCAGGACCCCGAGCACTAGACCGTGTTCCATCATAGAAAACAGACCATGTCTCTTATGGACAACGGTACTCCAGGAGACTCCGCTCGAGTGTGAGATCTGAATGCGGGGCAAAAGTTGCCGAACGGGTTCGCCAACAGTTCACAGCAGATGACGTTCCGACGGAGCGCCCACCGGCTGTCCGTGCCCAGGCAGATTCCTTTACTTTGGCATGCATTGCGATTCGTTTCTGATCAGGCCAACGAGGTCTATGGAAGTCGATAGAAGGAGACTACAAGCTCTACAGCAATGATCATCTCCAGTGTGCTGATCTAGATCTCGGTCTTGCCTCCAAAGAAGGCACGGGCGCCTGAGCTTTCCTCGCCCACTGGAACCGGGTTTGTGTTGGTCCCCTATAGAAAGCTTAGTCAGTTACATGGCGTCAGGGCACTTTGAGAGCCCCCCACCTGGAGTAGATTGTAATGCTCCGAGTTATTTACGTGGGTTATCTTCACATTCAGGGGAGGAGGGTTCGAGCTGTCAATGGGACCAGTGAATGAGGTATCCTGTTGATCCGTCAGCAAGTCAAGTAACATCTGTCGGTTCAACACAGGCCTTGAGATCTACAACAGCTCGAGTCCATGCTGTGTTCAACAGCCCCGCATACGATACGTCTCTCTTGGAATCTGAATCTAGCCGTAACAGTGCTGCAACCAACTCGCTGATGCACAGCCCGTGGCTCGCTATCGCCACTCGCACATTCGTGCCCTTCTTGATATGCGGCAGGATGAACAGCTTCACAGCTTCGTCGGCACGCTCCGCCAAATCGTCCAACGATTCGCCCTCGGGGAACTTCTCGTGACGAGAGCGGAACACGGGAAAGAGCTTCTGCTCATACAGCTGCTCCCTCGTTTGGTCGCTTGGTATGCGGACAAGCCAACGGTTGCCTTCAGCAATACCAAAGTACTGCTCCCGCAGTTTCTCGCTCACCGCGAACGCGGGCTTGGGTTCGCGGTGGGCGTCCAAGACTGCGAGCCCCGTCGAATGCGCGCGCAGAAGATCAGAGGCGTAGAGGAAGTCGAAGCCGGTGTCGTCATCACGGAATGATTGGCCGAGAGCGTCTGCTTGCTGACGAAGGTGGGTATATGCATATGAAAGTGGCTACTGCGCAGCGATCATCGTACCTTCATCCCTGCACAACGGTTAGCGAGCCCAGATGAGAGTTGAATGCCGCGCGCGTACCGAGCTCTGACAAAGGTGCATCCTTCCATCCAGCCCAAACATCTCGCTGGTCCGTAAAGTTGCAGTCCTCGTGTCTGAGTCTTCACTTAGTTACCCACCAAGTTGTCTTCCGATTGACCGTGTCGGATCTGAAGCGCGTTACTAGTATCGGCACTGTCGGCCATGACGCCCGACTTACGAAAGTGACTGTTAACATAGTATTTGCAAAGGCCACGGATCCAAATTTAGGCTTAGCGCGGGATGGTAGAGTTTAGAGGTGTGGGGTGAGTCACGCCTCGATCGTGCCTCTCCTGATGAGATCAATTTCCGGTCCAAAGCTTTGCCGGGACTTGGTGAGAGCAAGCGTCCAGCGGAACACACGAGGATTTTTGTTAAGATGATTATTCGGGTACCCCCGCACTCTCCATACACAAATGCGCATCAATTTGACGTCCCATCGTCATTCGAACACTTCATATTCCACGCTCCCGCCGATATAAATCACCGCCCGTTGCGCCCGTATGATCAAGGCCGGTCAGGTCATCGGGCCCGGACTGACAAGACTTCCATTCTCAAGAACTGCTATTTGATCGCTGACAAAGTGCGGTTTTAGGCACGCTGGGTGTCATATGCTGTCAGCGTGATACGCATCGGTCTGGTCTTAGCTGGGGCGGACGAGCGATGCAAGGCGATGCTGCGCTTCGAAGTATACTGAAGCGAAATGTTGGACATTCGACTCCACAGTCCGCACATTTGGTGTGGGAGCTCTTGGACTATTGAGGTTACAATCGGATGTCCTGACGCTGAAGAAAGCGATGCAGTTTTTTTCTCACGGTTCGTTTTTACCGCTCAATTCGGTCTCACCCGCCGTTCGGCAGGGGCCCAGAAAGAAGTCTAGATTCTTTTCCTATGTCTCCCGTCTTCCACAAAAAGAAATAATTACGTGACTTTTCCGGCAGGTCCCGATGCTTTGACAATAAAGTCTGCGAGAGCTTTGGCGTGGCCTCAGCACTGTGAGACTTCGAGCTTCGAAACGGGAATAAAAAGAGAAAATGTCGGCATAAACCTGGCACATGGGGACACAGGCTGATCGAGTCTTCAAACATCAAAGTGGAAAATGATGCCCGCGAGATGCATTCAATAGCTGCGCCTCTAAATGATGCCCAATTGTCTGGAGTGAAATATCATTTCACACGAATAATAACGTGTGCCTGGCAGTCCATTCCCCAAGGACGACTTCAAAGGCCAAGATGTCTTGCCGACAAATGCTCCGACGATGGGACGAAAATTGCAAAATGGGCTGCAAACCCCGCGCCCTAGTTGAGCGGTTTCGAACTTGAATTCGGAAAAATGCCGACTGCTGGATGGAAAAACTGCGGTGGTGTAGGATTCAGATGCAGTCCTTTGGCCGATACAACTGTAAAGTGATCATCTCCCGACACTTTGAGATGGAAACTGATTTCAAGTACATAAATAAACTCGATAGAGTAGACATGCTGGTGCAGCATTCAGATCAGCATGCGGATCCCGGGCGAGAATCGATGACTGAAGATTATCGACGACGGTCTCATGCTCACCGTACGTGAGATTCGGAACCCTAAATTTGTGTTCACCGCGGCGTCGCGGCTGCCGGCAAGCATGCGGCTTTAAACGAAGAATGCCGGAGGGGCAGTCGCAAGAACGTATGGAAGAGCGGATTGAGGGTTTGGCAGTGCATTGGCTGCAGAAAGGCTCATATTACGTACGTATGGCTCTGTTGTTCCGCTGTAGATATTCACAGGCACTGGAACCAAGAGAATCAGTTTGGGTGATCGGCTGATTACTCATCTATGGGGACAATTGCCCGCACAAGCCCATGGGCCATCGGGGCACCAGACCGCACGCACATTCCATGCCTCCTCACGACGGATCTGTTTTCGTGCGGCTCAGATCTCGCTTGGATCTCAGTTGCGGAACCAATCAACTTGTCGCAGATGTTTACACCCCATGCGGAGAGAAAAGGATGAGAACGCCGCAAGCCGTTGATGTGCAGCGTGAGAAAATGTCGTGTGCACTCGTGCTCTGCTGTTGTGGATGCTGTTAACAATGGAGAAGCGCTCGGCGCTTGTGCGAAAATGGATGTCAATCCGAAACGGGTTAGAACGGGCGGAGACGGCAATTGACTCAAGCTCTTGCAGTCATGAGGGGAATCACTGAGTCGACGGCGAGGTCAGAACCTGGGAGGCAATCAGATGCTTCGAGTCCCAACAAGTTGAACAACACGGAAAGATCCAAGCTATCATCAGCAAAGTCGATGTCTTTCGGGAACAAAGTCGACGCGCGGGAAGAAAAGAAGACAATACAAAAAGAACAAAGGCGTGGACTCATGGAAAGATGTCTAGTACGCAGATAGAAGGGGCGAATCGGGTCCCAATGGGAAGCACGTGTCCGCTGGATGTTTGTTGATTGCGACCTGTCATTGACAGCCCGAAAAGTGCACTCCACTGCGGCGCCTTTGCCTTTCTACCCTCACCACCAACTCCACGCATGGCTCTCACCCTCCACTATCCATCATCTGCGCTCGCTCATCCTCATCCCCCCGTCATGCCATCGCGTAAACGTGTACGACGCAACGCTACATCCGTCATGGCAGGCGATTTCGACGCCAGGCCTCCGCGCGACGTTCTAACGAGTCTCCTCAACGGTGTCGCGCCTTACACGCCCATGTACCGTATCGACGATGACGAGGTACGGAGACAGAGGAAGAAAGAGAAGAAGGAGAGAGAACGCGAGAGGAAACGAGAAAGGCTCGTGGCTATGAACCTGGGCCTCCACGCCGAACGATTGGATGTGGAGGACGTCAGCGATGTTGTCGACGCGTCGCGACCCATGTCGATCTCAGCGCCGCTACCAGTCCCGTCGACGTCATCATCGACCCTGCCAGCCAATTGGAGCGCACGACCTGCCATTCACATTGCCACCATGTATCGATCTATGTCTGTCACCCCACCACCCTTCAGCTCTCCAAATGCTATGCTCCCTTCGACGCCTGCATCGACGCCCGGTCCTTCTGAATCGTCCAGCACGTCGCGAACCTCTTCAAAGCGACCACGCACCCCGAACGATGATGAGGAGATAGTGGTGCACAAGCAACGAAAGCAACGTGCCGCTGTGCGCAAAGGATGGAAGGGATGGGTTGAGGGCTCGCCTCCACCCTCGGAGAAACTCATCAATCTGGATGTCGTACCCGTCTTGCAGGAGCGGAGAACCAGAAGTGGCAAGAACTTCGATGCCATTGGCGTTGGCAAGGACGGATGGATCTAATTCTTACGTATGTGTGTGCTGAACGGCTGCTTCGTTGGCCACCCACATCGCTGAAACATCCTCCACGATGTCCTTGCGGGTCTGTCTGTATGATCCTTTTGCTAGATGCTGATTCATCTCAGTCTGCTATGTCGCATGCCTTTCTTTGCACCCCTGCTTTCTTATCCCATTCTACTATCCACCCACTACCCAATCTCTTGCCAATGTATTTTGCTCGTGCGTCAGTCTCGGCCACGATATGTAGAAGCCGTTTACGAAGGCTACATGATGAGAAGCAGGAGTTCATAATCTACACTACTCATCTGTACAAGGACGGGACAATCTAGGAATCTAAATTGAACGATTCTGTAAGTCGGTTTGAATCCCAGGTAGCCGGTAAGCATTCGCGTATACATGAAAGGTTCCGACGTTTAGCCTGTCACCCGAGCCTGACTTCAGATTGGCATGAGAGGCGGTAGCTCGCTGCGGTACTACGCTTCCCTCAAGTGGGGCTTGCGCGACTGCGGCGCAGCCTTCGGTCGCCATTGGCGCCAGTGCTCACTGCCTTGATCCCCTGCGAATGAGATCGCGAAGACATCTTACATACTCTGATCGGACGCTCATGTCCAACAGCGTCAAACAGCTCGCCTGATCTCCGAACCTTTTGACATTGCCTCTCCCGGACGAAAGACCAGGAGGATATCCCTGAGGTCACTGCCGCTCTCTCTCTCATCGCCACCGCATGACCTGAGAGCATGTTGGGTCCTATTATACCCCCACTTCTGCCCACGCCGTCCTCATGGTTCCCGGGTCATATGGCCAAGTTTACGCGCCTTCTTCCATCCCTTCTTGCGCAAACGAACGTCGTCCTTGAAGTCCGGGACTCCCGGCTACCGCTGACGAGTGTGAACCCTGCGTTCGAAGGTGTGCTTCTGCGCCTAAGACTCCTCGGACGGCGGCCACCAAGCTAAGCTGAAACAGAGGTCCTGAAACGATGGCGACTCGAGCGCGGCTGGGACCCACAAGACCCGACTAGACGGATTGTGGACAGCGTCGGCTGTGAGCGCATAGTGGTGTTCAGCAAAAGGGACTTGGTTCCGGACTGGGGGATGGAGGTCTGCCAAGACAATCCCGTAGACCCTACTCCATCTGATGTACCACGTGCAGCCGTTCCGCAGAGCCATGCAGAGTCGATTTCCAGATCAGAAGTTCATGTTTGCATCTTTCAACCGCGGAAGAGATATCCGTAAATTGAGCGATACTCTGGTCGGTGCGTCTGCTCACATTTATTTCGCTCTCTATTTTCTCTCAACTGTTCAAGAAATCGCGAAACGTTATCCATACGCGATGGAATTAAATGTCCTCGTGGTAGGCATGCCGAATGTTGGAAAATCAACCCTCTTAAATTCGTTGAGGAATGCGGGAATCAAAGGGCGTGCGTCTTTCTCTCCAGATTTCCCATGACATCTTCCAACATGAGCGCATTTCAAGGAACGCCTAAAGCTCTGCAAACGTCTTCAAATCCAGGGCACACTCGCGCCATATCGACGCGTTTAAAGCTTTCGCTTGATCCGCTCGTTTACGCTTACGACTCACCCGGTGTGATGCTTCCGTTCTTGGGACAAGGTGAAAGAGGGGCGGAGCGTGGAGTCAAGCTGGCTTTGATAGGTGCGCCACAATCAAATAGCAAAAATTCGATCTGAGCCCTCGTCAGCCGGGATACAGGAAGGCCTGTATGACATCGAGACGCTCGCAGCCTATCTGCTATACCGAATAAATATTCTCAACCCATCGTGTACCACGATTTCATTTTTTTGCCAGCTGGATGACTGACAATTCAACCAGCTCCCGCGTATTTGTCCCTTCTTTCCCCCGATGCCCGTGCTACAAATTCGATCGAAGACTTCTTGGAGAGTCTCGGCCAGCGATTGCGTATGATCGGGCGCCGCGGGGAAGTGGACCGACGGAGGGCCGCCGTATTTTTCGTGAAATGGTGGCGAGACGAGGGTGGGCTCGCCATCTCTGATGCAGCACCACCGGGATTGCAGTTCGGCTCGTCTGTTTCCAATCGTTTGAAAGAACCGAGCAGACGAGCCAAAGCGCTTGCCAATCCCAACCTAGACGCTGATTCATCCATCGCTGCCGTCGATCTATCGTCCCCCGGGCTTCTTTCAGAGAGGTTCAGCGACGAAACAGAATTGCCATTGGAACGAGGCGAATTGATTCCTGCTAACACGACACACGGCTGGGGTTTCGACCTCGAATGGGATTTGTCCCGAACCGAACTCGAACACGCCCGACGGCAGAAACACGTGCCACAGCTGCTGCAAAGCAAGATGGAGATGTCTATCGATCGCCATCTGGAAGATCTGATGGTGGAGGACGAGTACGAAATCAATCTGAGCGATACGCAGCGGAAGAAGCGCATCGTTTTGCAGGAGAAGGAGAGGAGGAAAGCCAAGTATGCTGAAATCACGCGTGCTAGGGCGAAAATCGCGCGCGCAGCGATCAGATAGTCCCGGCCATGGATTTTGATTACTAGTTTGCGCAAGGGATAATTCGGTACCAAGTGCTGAAGATTGCACAATCCTGCAGCTTCTGCAAGTCTCACCTCCAGGCTGGAAGGTTGGTCTTTTGTCCTTTCTATTTTTTGTCTTTTGAGGGCAGAAAATTGAGCTTCAATCTTCAGAATTGGAAAGGTGAACAGACTATCATGACTGGAAAGCGAATCGAACAGCCAAAGAGAACTTGATCACATGAGCCGCCGCACTTCCCCCGAAGACTCGCATTCAAGGGACCTGAACGTAGGGCCATTTAGCACGAAATTCGAGTTGGAATCCTTCTTTGTGATACAGAACGCAGTGAAGAAGTTGAACGAGACGCAGCAGCTGACACGAGATTCCAGATTTGCTTCCGTGCATCCTTTTTGTCCATCAGTGATCGGGATTTACCCAAATCAAGTAGCCGACATTGAAACCCCGCAGTGGAGTCAGTTACAGTCAGGACTCAGAACACGTTGCAACTCTCCCCAGGAACCCATGAAACTATTCCAACCCCGTAGCTCAGAGTCTGAGTCCTCACGCACGGCCTCTTCCATTGCTCTCCCAGTCTCACGCACCCGTATTCTCACCTTCCGGACCCCAAGTGGCGGCTCGAGCACTAGCACCCAGCCTGACACCATCGGTGAAGTGCTCCACACGCCCAATTCCAATGCGTCCCCGAGAAAGACAGCCTTGAAAGGCACAGCTCCGGGGCCTGTCGCTCGAGACACCGCGTCCGACAGTCAGCTGTCATCGGAGCCAGGAATCCAGCGTGCCAATCTCGGGATCGCTGATGCAGCGAGCCTGTTCCTGCGCATGCGCCCTCGACAGGTCAAGAAGCCCCATCACATCGAATCATCCTCCGGGCTTCAACCTCTGTCCCACTCGCAGGTAGTCGAGGGCGCGCAAGATGCGTGGCGCTCGACAGTCAGGCGTGCGGACGTCTTCATCTGCGAGGGCGGTGTGAACGTGGTGCAGCTCCTGCGAGTCGCACGTGAAGATCTCCTGGAGGATGCGGGGATCATGGGAGGGAACGCCTTAGTAGATGAACGGTACGCTTGCTGGCGCTTCTGATTGTGGGGCTGATTGCCAGCCTTTGCGGGCCGTGCTCAGATGGGACTGCACAATCTGTGGGCCGAAGCATCGGAGGAATGGCTTCTTCAAAGTGGAGGTGCGCTCTAGACTCTTCTGAAAATCGCTGACTCGAACGTACCATGTTGCTAGATAGCATACTCTGCCTCTGCGATGCGATCCAGTACGTCGGACCCGCATCGACCGGTTGCGGTCGCCCAAGCTCGAGGCGTCCCCGGGCTCATGTCCGTCATCAAGCGGAATGTATGACTGTAACATTCGAGAAATGCGTTTCCCTCCTTATCCTCCGTTGTGACACTGACATTGTACCATCAAGCACTCATTCTACAGCACTTTCCCCCATACATGTATCCGCCTGTCTAGCACTACAGCATCCCCATGAACAATGTTATATTAGTCTCACCGATCGAATGTCGTCAGGCGTTCTACAGCCTTGTGTGATTGCTGTCGCCGCTGCACAATGCAGACAAATTGAGCGTTTTCTCCTCGTTTTGTTGGTGCATCTCATGCGAGGCCCGCACGCACAGCCCGCCCCCGCAGCCACCGTATGGACCACGCATGTCGCTGGCTCCGAAGCAGAGCCCTGCGGTGCCCCGACGTCGATCGGAAAGGCGCATTGTTGCCGGGATGATTCAGCCGAAAGCTGTTAACAGCCGGGCCAAGCCTCTTCGTTTCCTTTTCGGGAAACGATGTTCGCAGATCCTTTCACAGCTTTCCCTGCTATAAAAGAGAGGCTTGTCACCCTTCCATGTGTTGCTCCAGCACCCCGCAACTCCACTCCACCACCTACTCCCTTCTGCACCTGCAGCTGAACATGGAACAAATCTACTCGAAGCGCATCCAATTCCACAGTACGTGATGCTCCATATACTTACCCCGCAAAGCAAGTTTATTGACCCTTTGCTGCCCCTCTCGTCCAGTTGATGCAGCCACCTTACTCCCTTCCGCAAAACGTGCAGGGAAGGCTCCCGTCCGTCCAGACGCCTACGTCAGCGTGCAGATTGTCCGCGATCTGTCCGACGCGGATCATCCTCGGGCCGCTACGGGCCGCGTTCTCCAAACAACTGCTGTCAAAGGAGAAATGACAAATCCGAGATGGGAGCAGAACCTGGAATACATGGACCTCTCTGGCCAACCGGCTGTGGTGTTTGAGATCATGCAGCGGTCTGGCCGGCTCGGCCGACGCAGCTCGCTCAGTGTGGCGAAGACGGAGCCGTATCCGCTCAGCACGTTGCTCGCCATGCAGGGTGGGAACGCTTTTGATCGGAGTGCGTCTCTTTTTCTCTCACGCGTCTACGGCATCTCCGTGTTTGCTCATCCGCTGTCGTTTCAGATATCGAGCTGCCGCTCCACTCTCCGCCCCTGCCCGCCGCCTCCGACGAAGCCGCGACCGCGGGCATTCTGTCTGTCAATATCCGTGAACTTGCGACTTCGCACACGGCTCATGAAAACGTCAAGGAGGCTGCCAGACGCTCGCAGGAGATCAGGAGGCTATCTGAGGATAATATCCAAGCCGACCCTAGCACAAATGAAGATACCGCTCTCCCCAAGCGGTCTGTGCGCTGGGCCGCGTGATCGCTGCATATATATAAATATCTTATTCATCGTGGTCTTTGAGGGGGGGGGGGGGGGGGTTAGTCCTTGGACATGCATGTGTTATTTGCAATTTTGTACTTACTCATCGCTCTATCCTCAGCGAATATACATTGCTGTCATACTGCCTATGATCCGACTCCCACCCCTGGCTACGAACGACACGTTCCGGAGATGGCGTGGAAAGCGCCAATCTGCTTGTGGGCTTGCCCAAGTTAAGACAGAGTCTCGACTCGTTTCGACCGCTACGCAAGTCTGATCCCATGGTAAGATGCAATTCAAATAACGAAAGGTAGGACCCATGGCTCGAGGACCTGATTCTGTCCACCGTCTTCTCAAGCAGACGCCACTGATAAATTGTGAGACAGGCTGGGAAACTGGGACCGGTGTCTCATTCGCCAGCCTATCTGTGCCTGTTTCTCGCAAAGAGCGACTTAGGCGCCCAATGATATTGTGCTCTGGTGAACCTTGGCTGCTTTTACCCACAGGAATCATGCTGGATGAAGTCTGGTGACCCTCAGCCTGTACTAAACCATCGGCTGCCCGGGAGTGCTTGCTTACATCACATGGGAGGCCGCAGAGAATATATATCTAGGTGCGATAAGCGCCCAGAAAGCAGCACTCCTCTGACCTGAGTCAAAAGGGATCAACTCAACTAGGCACCCCGACTCTTTCTCATCCGACACTCAAGTGCGTGAGGCCCCAATGTACACAACATCGTTCGGGCATTGACCATCCACAGGAAATATCTTCTATATCTCCCAAAAAGAGCAGAACATGGGCGAGCCTACTAAGTAGGTCGGACCTTGTGCCGAGTCTCGAAAACCACTGAGCTGTGTAGCAGCCCCGCCGCCAGTACTGTCAGGACCTCGAATGGCGCAGGCACGACGGCTCAGAATCAGCCAGGAAGCCCTGTCAAATCCGGATGAAATCCGTCCCAGCTCGTGGGCTGCACGATCCAAATGTACAAATCAGGATTCGGATTGGCGGATGGCCCGTTGCGAGGCGGTAGAAATGTATGATAAGAACGACGAAATCCATTTTCTTTTTCTCGCAGTATCCAGACAGGCCAGTCAACTCTCGATTCCATGACGCCAGAGACCGGAGAGTTTGGGCGGCGCGTCGTGCATAGCGTTGCGCGTTGCCCAGCTCTTGGCTGTAGATAAATGCGTAGATGCGTCTTAGTCGAGCAGCCGACAACGGCGTGACGCACTAGAAAAAGCAGTGAGAGCAGAGAATTCACTTCGCGAATGGCTTTCCGCAAATCTGATTGAGGACAATCAATTTGAACCTGTTGTTGGATTAGTAAGATTGGGACAGCTCATTAAGTCGCGTGACGGATCAGGTGATCGCGTTCACATGTATGATGTATCCTCATGTCACTGTGACTCCCAGCCACCGTCAAGGACTGACATTTGATTCTCAGGCTATCGCCACACCATTCCTTCGTGCTCTCGCCAACTAGCTGCCCCGAGCCGTCGATTCTGTGAAGGTTCCACACTTTGAATCACTCTTGAAAGCTCAATCATTCTGACCTCCGCGATCATCGGGTGCACCGTTGTGCGCACAACTGAGTCAAAGAAGTGCACTCTTCACCTTGATGATACGTCCTCGTGAACGACAACGCTGCCAAGTTCCATCTCGACCATTGTTATCGGCAGATCCAAGCTGACTTGTTCTCCCTGTTAACAAGCACATTGAGCATGTTAAGATCAAGAACCCGCGTTGGACCAAGCCCATTGTTCGACTATTGGGGAAAGGTCTTCGCCTATACTGACCCGCAAATGACTCTAAGCAAGGCTGTGGCCCCCATTGTGCTCTTGACATCTTGCTCCTCGCCTCTTCTCATCCTCCGTGTCTCCCCTCATCGTGCCTATAACAGTGACTCTCGCCGCCCAGAAACCGTCTCCCATGGCTGATTCTCGCCTCTCCTCGTTCGCATTGCCCTTGAGTTACAATTGGATCACGCCTTCGGGCAGTCTCCCAATCCGCTTGCCGCCATCATCAATTTCGTCTGGACTCGCTGGCCAGTCGCACCGGCGGAACCTGTCTTCAATCGAGACTCTGAATGCCGAGAACAGTGACGGCCAGGCTCCGGTCGCTGTGCGTCGTGGTTCCTGGCCTCCTGGACCGGAGGTTTCTCGGGACATGGCGCCGCAAGAGCCGCAGCGCGAATATAGCCTGCATGTCAGCGATCTCAGTCCAGACACGTCAAATAGTGACTTACTTGCGGTAAGATGACAGTCTTTGAAATAGGCACCGCTGATGACGAGATTGTTTCGCACAGGTATTTCAAGATCCACGACTCGGTCTCCGCATCGATAGACCGCCTAGACTCGTGCGGCCGTTCCCGAGTTGCAAGAGTGCCAAAGTGATGGTCGATGCGGAAACGGGGATCAGTCGCGGATTCGGGTTCGTCAGATTCGCCGAAGAGGCTGATCAGCAACGTGCGCTGGTCGAGATGCAGGGGATGTACTGCTTGTCGCGTCCGAGTGAGTCGAGCCCTCGATGCCCCCCGAGCACATGCTGATGCGTGATTGCCAGTGCGCATTGCTCTTGCCACCACGAAGCCGTTGTTTCCAGCCCCCACAGCGCGTGTTCCCGGTGCACATCGAAACACTGCCGGCCCCTTGCAACCTTCCAATCGCGACATCGGCGGGCGAGCTTGGAACCAAGAATGGGAGCAGGCCCGCAGCATCTCGGGAATCCGGCTTGATTTCGAACAGCCTCAGATGGATCCTTACAACACCACTGTATTCGTTGGTGGGCTTAGTTCCTTGATCCGAGAGGACGCTCTCCGGGCTCTGTTCGCCCAATTCGGCGAGATCCACTATGTGGGTGGCGTTGCTCTCTCCTGCGCGTGTCTCATTGCTGACAAGCGAGTCCTCCATGCAGGTCCGGATCCCAGCCGGGAAGCACTGTGGATTCGTGCAGTTTGTCCGCAAGACCGATGCGGTCAGAGCGATCGACCACATGCACGGGTTGGTCGTCGAGGGCAGCCGGATCAGACTCAGCTGGGGGCGCAGTCAGTGTACGTCATCGCGTGATCGTCGCGGGTATGTTTTGATTCCGTGATTATCAGACAAGGCGACGCAAGCCGTGGCTCTGCATGCTGCTGTCCAAGGAGCACAGCCCTTTGTGGCGGCCATCGGCTCCGCAGGGGAGACGACGGCCTTCTCCCTGAGCGAGGGAGCTCCGCTGTCACTGGGTTATCCTGCGCCCCATGACACTTTTGCCCCGTTTCCACGTACGCAGCAGCCCCCGATTTCGCGGCCTACCAACCGAGAGCTCGCGCTTTTCGAGAGCCAGGGACGTCTCGCGGTACCAATTTAGCTGAATGCTGTCTATCGAAATGCTCTCGTTCGTCCTGCCATTGTTATCCTGCTGTCCTGTATCGATTATCGCATATTACTTATTATGCCATCACATATGTAGTGGTATATTCAATGGAGATGTATTCACGTTTTTATGCTATGAATAGTCCAAACGGAGTGGTAAAACTGTCGCGAAGGACGCATATACTTAGACTTGGGTTCGGAAATTGAATCCAAGGAGCGAACGCGATCACGTGACAAAGATGTCAAGGTGACAAAAACGAGGGTGAAACTGAGAAGACGACATATGCATCCTGGCCGCGTTCTACGTAGCGGTGATACTAATTCACAGTGGACCCGAAAACAGCGTGAATTTTCTCCTGTCCGTTTAGCCGCGAGCAATCGGCCCTGCCGTAACGCTCGGGGGCCGCCGCCTAGACAACCGCGGTCCCCATTCTCTGCGATTCCGGCATAATGATCGGGATGATAAGGCGCGGGAGCCCCTTGGATCAAAGCGGGCGCGCTGCCCGCTTGTGTCCGCATGTCGAGTGATTCACATAGTTCCGAAAACAGCGCGGATGTCGCCGCCAGATTCATGGTTGCGACTCGTGACAGACCGGAGTCGTCGTTACAACGGACAGCGAGTTCCGCAGCACGAGGGGGAGGTGAAACATATGTTTGCTGCGATGCGCGCACGCACAAGGCGCATGGCCAGCCACAACCGAAAGGGAATTCCGATGTGTCGGACGCGGCTCGGAAATGCTGAATACATAATTCCATTGTAAGATAGGTAGACAACTTTATGCGAATCTACGCTATAAGGAGTGAATAAGAGATAATCTAGGTGAGGGATGACTAAAGAGGGGTGGTGGTAGTACTAGGTAAGCAAACAAGGAAAGTAAGGGTTTGTAGACAATACACGTCTGGAATGCGGAAAAGTTCGGGATGAGATACAGTTAAGTAAGATAAGTTGTAGGCGGTTTTTGGGCGTGCTTGTCCATGCGGAGAAGACGGGAATGTGGTGCTACAGCGGGCGACGGCAGCTCAATCGAGCCAAAACTGTCCCCGCGATAATCGATATTGAGAGGGAAGTTGCCGACGCGGAGCTGGGCAAGAACAAGGAAATGAAATAAGCAACGAGGCCGGCATCCTAAATGGCCGCAGACGCACCTGGATTAGATCATACCCGGGAGGGAAGCAAGTCCACAACACGACTGGCTTTGATTGCCGAGCCAGTCTTCCCAAAGTAACGCGTGGTGGTGAACGACCAGTGCAGAGAACTGCCCATGCAAAGTTAGCCACGGCCGTGACCGGATAGCACACAAGGACGCACCCAACAATCCAGTCAGCAAGCCCATCAACGTACACCGCCACATCCCTGTCAACCTTCTCGCCCCAGGATGGCAGCTGCGCACGATCCTCGTTGAAACGGTCAATCGATCCTTTGCACATGTCGCCCACGAAGTCGATGGCCGCTTGCAGATCAAGACCCTGCTCGCTCATGACGACAGGAATCATGTTGTGCGTGTCGCCCTGTCGTGCGAGTCAGAACAGCGGGGAAGCAGCGGCACTGATCGGTGCATACCTTGGACTGTTCCACGTTGTAGGAGAAGATGTCCTGTGGAGCAACGTGAGCTCTCGCGCCCGGGAGATGAGGCAAGCAGACCGTACATTCGACCAGGTCACCAGGTCGTTGGCAGCTTCTGTCAGACTCATGAGCAGCGGATGCTCCATCACTTCGTCCGGAATGTCCAAGTTGTTGGCATATCTGGACTGAGGTCAGCGCTGGTGGATGCGATCAGATGGGAGCGAGCGCACTCGATCAGGGCAAAAGATGGTTTGCAACCTGTTCATCTTGTCAGACAGCGGGAACGCTCGGGTGCGACGGGACTGACCAGATGTGTCTCTTCTCAGGGCAATGTATGACTCGAGATCAGGGATAACACCTGCATCACGATCCATGGCTTGCTGTGTCACGCTCTGGAAGAAAAAGTCGAACGTCTCGATGAACTAGACAGGCGATGAGATCGGGAAGTGTATCGCCAAGGAAGAAACACACCCGACGCTGTGTGCCGGGAGACGCGGTGGCGACCATCCGCTTGTAATAGCTGCAGTGGGTAAGCACAGATTGTCCGCGGAGAGATCAGCGGACGCACTCTCTCGTCATCTTCGCAACACGCGCTTGGGACCGGTCGGTGTGAGGGTGATAGAGAGCATTCAGCACAGTGTCGGCTGTCGTCTGCGTTCCATGGGTGTCCATATCATCCGAAAGGTTGTCGAGGTGGAAGAGGTAGGTGAGAAAGTCATTGCACACGCGCAATTGCGGGCAGCCAGCGTCCGGATAGCACATCGCTGTAAGGGTTCCGCACTTGAGTCCATGGAAGCGCTCGCGGATTTTGGGGTTGGTGAGGTTGTCGCCTTTGAAAAGCCACTGCTTTGTCTCGCCGGTCACTTGCTTGCGATGGCGGCTGACGCGAAGCGGGAAGTCGCAGTGCGAAACGAGGTCGGGAAGAACGAATTTTGTGGCGGGAGCCTTGTGAGAGGAAGAAGCCATTGAGATAGAAATGGGCGAGAAGGCAGAAAGTGGATAGTGATGAAGAGGCGGAGAAAGAAGTAGAGATGCGCCGTAGACAGAAAGTAGCACTCCGGTTTATAAACCGCACGCGCCTCCAAAGTGATCGATTCAATCGGCATCTACACCCGGCCAAATTAGGGTTCTGAAGATGGCTTGCGTAAGGGCACTTTCCGCCAAGTCGACAACTTCTGTCCGGGCGTAATTCGGACACGCGGGCATGTACATACGATCTCGGCAATGCCATGGAAAGTTTTCTGTTGTCCGAGCAGCGGACAAAAAATAAATCCTTGTCTCCCAGGGTCAGTCACGGAGAAATGGGTGGCAATGTGAATAAGTAAAGACGCACGCGTAGCCGGATTTACGTGGGCCAATAAGGGTTGCAGCGAACATAAGCATCGCGGTTAAGGCGACAGCTCGCTCCATATTGCACGGACACGCTTCCCGAGCCATTGTCTCTGACTCCGTTTCACGGCAACGACAGTCTCCAAGAGCGCTAGTGGTTGCGGGTACAATATCATTTCAATCTTTGAGCGGACAGCTTGGACCAGGATATGATTGAGTTGCAATCGAGGGCTGAGTCTGACTCTGAGTCAAAGGGCGGCAAGTGCATGCTTACGGGAAGCAACAATCACAGTGCAAGAGGGAGATGTGTTTGAGAGGTGGGTGATCACTTGATCGGCCCGTCGTAGGATTTTGCCTCCGTTTCTCACGCCAATGATCGACGGGGAGCATTTGAATTTCGAGTTCGGCACAGACCATTTAGTCTGGCCGCCGGGCGGATCCTGCTTAGACGAGAAGAAATAAACCCATGCAGATATCCTAAAGGCTGCTATCTGAGCCATGGACATCGCGCTTTTTTCGGGTCGATCCCTCGACGCATCCCCTCTTCGCGTCCACATGCTTGCGCCACGGCCACAATCCACCAAATAGCATTTTAGAGTAGAGGGATATTTGTGTCAGCACAAGCTTTGGCGTAGCAGGTCAACGTCCAATGCGAGCTTAGTCAGAACGAGATGATCGTCCCCCCGACGTGCAATCAGGGAATGGAATGGATGAGTCAGCGAAGGCCCATCGATCGTCCAGTGGTGGCACAGGGATGCAGAGTCAAGCCAGTGTCAGTGATAAGTAATGTCCGACACGACAACAAATGATCACCATGAAACCAGAGCAACCTCATCCATGTGCTGCATCGCAACAGGTTTGCGATCAAAGGGACAATCGTCTAAGCGCAAAAATAATGCAAGTCTCGGCGTGCCCAGTGCAGGTAGGTAGGTACCCATCTCCGCCCCTCCCAAACAATGGGTAAGAGACAGATGCGATGAGCCGGCACTGCGACAGCTCCAGCTGCCAGTGCAAAAAATAAACCTCGAGCTGAATCATTCATTCAAGAACATCCAAGTGGAGACATTCAAGGGAGCGTTTGGACTTGATAAATGAATGCAGGCAGAAAAAATTGGCAAAAAAGAGGGGGACTGCGTGAGAAGGCATGGATCGCTTCCACAAGTCGGGTTGCAAATGCTCGCCACTCTTTCAGGACTGGATCGCTTGCTGTCACTAGATTCTTGACAGTCAGATAGACAGTTGGTGGTCACTTGGAGAATTCTCAGCGCGTTCCAGCAGATAGATGTGTTGACCCAGGCGAGCAAGTTTTACAAGTGGCTAATTCTCACCCGGAAGTTTAGGAGAGAGAGCACACGATCGGCTGTTTGGCTCCTTGTGCAGCCAAACATATGACATTGCTCACTGCCAAATTCGGCCAGCATCGCTTCCAAACCTGCGCGTTTATCGCCAGAGTATTTTGAGGCTGCGTCGGCCCATACCTCGATATCTTGCTCGAAATGGCACCCCCACGACGTTCCTTTGGCCCAGACGAGTCTGCCTTGGACGACAGTCCTGACGGCCCCGAGCCAACTACCAGTCGCATTCAGCGCTTTGTGGGTCGAATGTCCTTTGGAAGCGTTAGTCGACACCGCGGCAGCTTTGTGTCTCGCTGGAGAAATCAGAACGATAACGCGGACGGCGAAGGGGACAATGCAGTCGATACACCTGGTACCGAACGACCTCCCATACCTGTTGTGATGCAGGCAGCAGAACCCTACGCCACACCTCTGCCAATCTTATCCATGATTGTGCTTTCGATCGTGCGCTGTACTCAGCCCCCTTATACGTCTACCTAACCCACTTACTCAGACTATGCTTGGCGAATTTCTTTCTGCGAATGTTTCCACTCCCTTCGTGCTGTTCATGGTCAAAGGCGCGTCGTCATTACCCTCGTCATTGAGCAAGCCTGACGTAGAGTAGGCTTTCGTGATTGGAAAGACGATGCTGAGATTGCGTTCTGGACGGGGATCCTTGGTGAGGGGCGCATTTTCCTACGCGAAGGCATCTAACGTAAAATCAGTATCGACGTTCTTCCTTACCCAATTCCTAACTGCGATCCTTTGGGTACGTATCTACGACCCCTTAATCTCGGCTCACCTACCTGACCTGCAGGCCACTGTGGCGGAAAAACATGGTCGCCGCTTTGTCTTGGTGGTTTCACTCCTGGGGAGCGCGCTGACATGTGCCGCATTTGGCACTTCGACATCGCTTGAGGAGGCGATTTGCATTCGTCTCCTGCAGGGTGTGTTTGCCGGGGCAGTCGGTGTCGCGCGTGGCTCAGTCGCGTTCATCACCGATGCATCCAATGAAGGCAGAGCATATGCTATTTTGGGGTGCGTGCATCTTGTCTGCGACAGGAGAGAGGCTCGTTTCTTAAGTCGTTATCTCTCAGCTTCTGCTGGGGCCTCGGTGGTGTTGCCGGTGCTATCGTTGGTGGAGCTTGTGCGTTCATCACTCTCTATCCGCGGTAAAGAGACGGCCCTGATTGCCTTAGTCGAACGTCCGGCCGTGAAATGGTCTGGTGTGTTTGAAAACACGCTCTTTGACCGATATCCGTATCTTCTGGCATGTGGAGTGGCTTCATCGGTGACCCTGCTCGGTGCGCATCGAAAAACTTCCGAGACATATGCGCGTTCTTATCTCTGCAGGGTCCATTTTGGGATGTTTCCTTGGACCTGACGGAGGACCAAGAGAAGGAGCCATTCGTTTGATCGAAAAGTCGGATCAACACCCGACGATCCCAGAAGAAGAAGAATCCAGGCCTCCAACTCCTGTTTTCGATGATGAGGAGCGCCAGTCCACGCTCGGAAGGAGGATGTCGAAGAAACTCTCTAGTTACTTTGCGCGCCAAGCAACTGAACGGGACCCGCTTCTTACTCCTGGTGCTGAGTCTAGTCAGCCAGCAGTAAGACTCGATCGCACGCGCACGTTCTCAAGCTCTAGACCCAGTCGAGCAAACGGCTCTGCCTACGGGTACGCTGGAAGCTACCGGAGCCGACTTGCGAGCAGTGTGGTGAACAATCGCCGTGGGAGTAATGCCAGCACGATGCGGCGGCGACACATGAGTCTGGCTGACTCACAACAGCGGGATTCGATGGCATCATCGACCGATCTGAACTTCGCGCAACGGCTTCTAATTGCTAACGAGAATGCGGTGACCAATATCGCCGATCTCTGGGTCGCTGCTGCAATGAATGTGGATAATGAAGATGTCTTCGAGGACAGCGACACCGAGCTCGGCGAAAACGATGAAGAAGAAGAAGCTGAAGACCGGCCCTCGCGTTCTGTGCTCGTCTCTCCCATCGGTGGCCGTCCCTCTACTAGTCGTCGCCTTTCTGCTGGTCGTCGTCCCTCTGCCGGTCCAGTTGGTCGATTCGAGTCTCCTCGACGGCCATCGACTGTCCGCCGGCCCTCTTTCTCTCAAACCCTCGAAGGAGCCCGGCGCCTCTCAGCTGTGCCGAGCATCTTCGCTCATCCTGGTGTCAAAACGCCGCCCGCGGTGCTGGATGCCCAGATGCTACTTTCACGTGACCCTGAGCCACCGTCGGCCGGCCCCGACCTGTTGGAGCCAATCATTGAATCACGTCGTGTCTCGCTGCACGATGCTGAAGGCCAGATTGAAGTTATTGAACCGCAACCGTCAATGATGTCACAGCTTCCTGTGCTAGTGATCATACAGTATGGGATGCTTGCACTGCATACCACGACACACGACCAGATCTTTCTGTCATACCTGGTCTCGTGAGCGGGCCCTTATGTCACCCGTTCGATTCTAACATGCAGCAGGGACGTTAACGCGGGGGGGCTCAATCTAGAAGCCAGCCACTTTGCCCAACTGAGTTAGTTGTCCGCTGTCTCGAATCCCGGCTGCTAACATCGTGCAGTTGCGCTGATGTGCCTGGCCCAAATTGCATACCAGTTCTACCTATATCCGTGAGCAGTCTTTGTTGTTCCACTGCACGTTTATTCTAACTCCGTTCCAGAAATATCGGGTATGCCACCTGTCGACGGCCGATTCTGCTCGTGCGGCTGACAACAAGATATTAGTCCACCCCGTGGCCGGTTCTCACATCTAGCCATGTTCCGCATCGGCTCCGTGCTGTTTATTCCAGCTTATCTGGCTGTCATTCTCCTCCACCCGTTTGCTACCGATTCAGAAGGCGAAAACTTCTCGGTCATGAGTGGGCTTGCTGTTATCACGTCAGACCCTATATGATCTCTTCCTGTCTCTGTCTCACCCGTTGATCAGGGCTGTGCGATACTCTGGTGGAACTTTCTGTTACACCTCAATCTCCATCTTGCTGAACTACAGTGAGTGTCAAGTCAGGGTCTTTTGGCGCAGATCTTGACAGTTTCATAGTGACGCCGCCGCCTGCTATCGGTCTGGCGAATGGCATGGCTCAGAGCATTGTCAGTCTAGCCCGTTGTTTCGGTCCCGTTTTGGGTGGCTATGTCAGCTCGTTATCATCTCAATGCTCTACGTCTCACGTCCCCTTCAGCTTTGGTCAGTCAGCGTGCAGGACAATCCGTCAGGGTATCCCCTGGGCTTTGTCATCTGCGGCGCCGCCTGTCTCTTCTCCGTGCTCCACAGTTTCATGATACGATGAGCGGCGAGCTGTTTTTCATTGCATACACGATACCAACTTGCTTAGAACATTATTTATATCAACATATACAGATTTCATAGCTTGTAATAGACATCTCTCAAGACCAATGGTATTATGATCAGGAATGAATAGGCCCGTATTCACAAAAACAATATTCAATCGCAAGAAATTATCCGCGGACAGCGTTCAGCAACGGATCATTGTCAGGATCTGTAAAAATCAGCAAGGATTTGCCGCCTGGTAACTGGAGAACGGACCGCGGACGAGACTGTAGGGCTGTCCGTTCACATCACAGAATGCGACGCCTCTGAACTTCCACCGTTGCGCCCACTTGAGAAGCCACGCCGGCTCGTCGACCAGAGTAGCCAGCATCCCGATATTCCGCACCCTGACTTGCTCGAGGCGGGGGAGTTTGGTGGTATCTATGGAGAGCAGAACATGGTCAAGCGGCTGAAAGCTGCGTGAGTTGCGGCCCGGTCAGCGCACACAAAAGTGCACACCAGAAGAACGGCGCGCTGGAATATCCTTGGAGGGACCGCGCTCGGCTTATCCTCGAATGGCGAAATGCAGATGCGGCGAAGCGACGGGTGCGATTTCGGCAACATGACATATTCTGAGCTCTGGGTCAGAATGAGGTTGTCTAGATTGGGCATCAACGGCAGCGTCATCGGCAGAGTGGGGGGAAAGTTCCAGTTGGTCGTGCGGAAAGTCTTGATTTTGTGTCCGTGCACCCGGAAGAAGCCATGGCGAGACGGAAATATCTCGATTTCGAAACGCTGCAGCGCGGGCAGCATGCCGGGTCTCGCAGCCAAATAGTCGAGCAGTGGATCCCAGGACAGAGGAAGCGCGATCAGTGCTTCTGACGGATCGGGTATGAGCCCGAGATAGAGTGTCTGCAGACTGGGCAGTTCGAGCGCGACGTCTACATGACCAGGATTGTCGTAGGAGAAGATCCAGGTCAGTCGAAGAGTGACCAGGTTGGGTGTGCGCAAGAGAAGGTTGGCTAGGTCCAACCACGTGGGCGCTTCTCCGACATGCGACCACTCTATGCGCCGCAGGGACGAGCCGCAGTACTTGGCTAAAGCCTCCAGAACAGCCGAGGGCGTCTGCGTTTCTGGGGCATAGTCGCTGCCATTCTTGTTCACGTATATCATCAGATTGGGAGTCCGCCTCAGTAGCCGCGGGATAAGGTCGAGCGTAGCAGGGCTGGAAAGAGGCTCTTTGATTTCAAAGTCCACGCGCTGGACCCAGATGCCGACACGGGGCGAGCCGTCCGACGGTGTTTCCTCCAGTCGAGAGAGTATCGCACGCAGTTGGGGGATAGACCGGATGATGAGGTATTCGGGTATGATTTGGGACGCGAGAGCGTTCCATTGGCGACACACCAGCGTGACTGTCCGGCGATCCTGCCTCATGTCCGGATCCACAACCTCCAGCGATTCAGTCGCGTAAGGTGGCTCGAAGAGGTCTTCCAGATGGATGGACTTGCGCCCATTCTGCCGGATAAGAAAACCCAGTACGGAGTTCCATATTTCTGGCGGCAGGGTCTGGTGGTGCCTCGCCGGTCTGTCTTCAGCGTCAGTCATGATGGGCGATTCGCCGCGATCGGTGCTGTGGTGATTCCATTTCCAGAACGCGCCCGTAGAGCCTCTGATGTATCTGAGGAGCTCCAGTGTAAAACAAGAGATATGGCGGATGAGCGGCGCGAGATGCAGATGCCGAACGCGAGACGAGGGATGGAAAGCGGAGAGAGAAAACAAGAAATCCGAGACACAAAAGTGCTTTGTACTAATGGGCCACGAGTCATTGCCTTTTCAGGCAGCGCCGATCACATCCACTTTTTCGATTTCACGCTCAACTAACCTGGACTGGGCTCGGCTCACGATTCCGCATGGCTTTCAACGCACCGAAAAGGCTGGCAGGCTCGAAACGAAAGCTCCGTGGGCAGTCCGAACCAGGGAAGAAACGAGTCAAAATCCAGCACAAGAATGCCGACAGTTTACCGTGGAAGGTCGTCGCGCGACCTATGGAAACTGGAATGAGTGGAGACGACGGGATCCTTGAGCTAGAAGAGGTCGACGATGTTGAAGTCTTCTATGAGGAGACGGAGGCGGGCAGGAAGATCACCTTCAACGTGCGTCTGTTCACCGCGTCTGGTGATCCTGCTGAGGTCGCTGTTTGGTAAGGTGATGGAATCTTCCAAAGACTCTACGGAAAAGGATGCAGAAATTGGGACAGGCTTGGATGTAGGAGAAGATCAGGGCGAGGAGCTGGAAACTGAATCAGTGGTCGAGGATGAGGAGGATCCAGTAGAAGATCCCACAGAGCCAATACAACCCTTCGATTGTACGCTCTTCTTTCATGTCGATGTGATAGACTCTGAATCCTTTCTTAAAGCCGAAAACCTGTTGCCCAATTGGCACCCATTCTCTCTACACCCTCAGCTTCTCCGTATCCTGCATTCCAAAAGCTTCGCATCTCCAACACCTATTCAATCCGCTGCACTTCCCTCAGCACTATCTGGCCGAGATGTTGTCGGGGTTGCTCAAACAGTGCGAACGCCACGGGTCTGATCTCTGGTCACAAACTGACTCGTTCACCCTAGGGATCAGGGAAAACGTTAGCTTACGGGCTTCCTATCCTCCACCGTCTTCTCTCTGAAGCCAAGCCGTCATCAAAGTCAAAAACACGCCGACTCGGTGCATTGATTCTGGCGCCTACGCGAGAACTGGCCCTCCAAGTCTCCGCGCATCTCAACGCGTGTCTGAACGCTGTTTCGGAAACGGGATCCAAGGGCCACAAATCCACAGGAACGAAAGTCGCGAAAAAGAGCCAAGAACCAGTGGAGCCACGAACGCCCCCTCTGGTCAGCGTCGCTGCTATTGTCGGTGGAATGTCTGCTCAAAAGCAGCGACGAGTGCTTGATCGAGGTGTCGATGTCCTAGTTGCAACCCCCGGTCGATTGTGGGATATCATGCAGGATGTAGGCTCCTCAGATCTTGGTGGAAGGTCTGTCTCACTGACAGGCGCACAGGATGACGATTTGGCGAATCAGATCAAGAGCCTCAAGTTCCTTGTGCTGGATGAAGCGGATCGAATGATCGAAGCGGGTCACTTTGCGGAGCTGGAGAACATCTTGCGACTAACACTGCGCGAGTCCAAGCATGTTCCTTCTTCTTTTCGAAGTCTCACCGACGACTAATCCTACTCCGTACAGGTCCGACCAGATCGAGCCGGAAGAAGGGGATGAACCAGAGCCTGTTCATGATGGACTGCAGACTTTTGTCTTCTCTGCGACCCTGAGTAAGGACCTACAACAAAATTTGAAACGAAGACGTCGTTCCAAACCGTCAAACTATAAGCGCGGGAAGCAACACGAGCCAGCGTCGACACTGGGTGCGTAGTTCTCGCCTTCCTTCTATCTGGCTCTCATTCCTTGCAGATGATTTGTTACTGCGGCTTGACTTTCGCGATCCCGAACCCAAGGTCATCGATCTCAGTCCTCAGGGCGGGGTAGTTTCCACACTGAAAGAAAGTAAGATCGAGTGTCTTTCCGCAGACAAGGTACGTTTTATGTTGGGCAGTCGTTTTCAGCTCAAGCCATGCACAGGATCTCTATCTCTATTATTTCCTACTTCGATACCCTGGGCGCTCGCTTGTTTTCCTGTCCTCCATCGATGGTATCCGACGACTGATGCCTCTGACGGAGCTCCTCAATGTCAAGGCATTTCCTCTGCATTCTCAGCTGGAGCAGCGCCAGCGGCTTAAGAATCTGGATCGCTTCAAATCGACACCGAATTCTGTGCTGCTGGCGACGGACATTGCCGCACGAGGGCTGGACATTGACGCTGTGGACCACGTCATCCACTATCAAATACCTCGCACAGCAGATGCTTATGTCCACCGTAATGGACGAACGGCCCGCGCGAACCAAAAGGGATTCAGCATGCTTATGTGTGCTCCAGACGAGCGGAAAACGGTCCGTGCGTTGTTGAGCAGTCTGGGTCGTCGTGAGTCGGATTTCTAATCATTTCTGTGCGTTATCCCTGACGGATCTGGCAGAGGAAAGCGAAGTGGCTGAAATGGAGGTCGACTTGGGCATGCTTGACAAGCTGAAAGAGAGAGTCCAGCTTGCACGCCAGATTGAAACGTCACACCACAAAGTCAAAAAGGCGAACCACGACAAGAAATGGATGAAAGAGGCAGCTGAGGCTCTCGAAGTGGATCTGGATTCGGATTTCATGAGGTTCGCATCCCGTTCATTGTGTTCATTCCTTCTGAATGAGGGATGTTTTCCCAGCGACTCGGACGAGGACAAGCCATCGAACCGTCAGCGCAAGTCCAGGGATCTCAAGGCCGCGCACATGAAAGACAAGTTGAGGCAGATGCTCGCAAAGCCACTTGTCGCGCGAGGCGTGATGACAAAGTATATCACGTTGGGCAGTCGCCCGATTGTTGATGATCTTCTCGCTGGCCAATGTACGCGATTCCAATGTGATGCCATTTTCTCCTTGTGCTGATCATCCGCTCCATAGTTCATGACACGATGGTTGGCGTGCCCAAGACTGAGGCAGGCAGCGATCTTGTTAGCGGACGGAAGACAAGAAAAGCCAAGAACAAGCTGAAGGGGGTGTGAGCTGTATCAGTCGTCAGTGTCAGTAGTCCTAGGAAGCAAAAATCGCGGCACTACAAACTGCGCAGTCGCGGGACTGCGCATCGGCCTGGCCTGGCCAATTGGGACCACCGGTCTCTCGATTTCTCGGGCACTGTCACAAATATTGCTCCGATACTTCTCATTCGATAACTGCGCACACTCCTTCAGAAAGCGTCTCGGATATCTTCGGTTTACTGTATCCATGTCTAAGCATCGCTACTCCCGGGCCTAGAGACCACGGATGCCAGTTTCTGGCCATCGCATGGACTCTGAACACAGGCCCCGCTAGTTGCATTAGGCGGGCGTTGCAGGCCTTCACTGGAGATCCAAAGCCCTCTCCAACCCTCATCTATGAACGTGTTCTGACTCGGGAGTGCACAACATGCCCGAAGCGTTGTTTGCACTTTGGGCACGAAGAACATGTATCTTATTGACTCGCCCAAATGATGATTCTTGAGTAGGACAGACAAGTTTGCTGGCTGCGCTTCTCGACGTAGTTCGTCAGGTCAACCTTCGTGCAATGTTACTTGCGGTGGCTCTCTCGATCCTGCTTTGCTTTGCTATTCAGGATGGGTAACTTTCGTTCAGTGTTGAGCTCGAAATGTGCACACGGACACTTCGAGGCTTACGAAATTTGTTAATCTCAAAAACAAGATTATATTCTTGACTGCTGAACCGCTGTCATCGGTTCGATGGTGTAGTTGGTTATCACTTCTGTCTAACAGTTGGCAATTTAATTGCGCTGTTCACAGGCGGTCCTCAGTTCGAACCTGGGTCGAATCACACTTTTGATCATCACTACGATCGACTCTGCGCATTTCCCTTGAGAGGTAGAAATTCATGGTCTGTTCTTACTCTAAATCTGAGATTCTGCAAGATAAATAATGGGATGTACTTGTATACATGTACACTAGTCCTACATCACGTCGAGGTGCATGCCCGCCATAAAAAGGCCAAATATAGACAGAGAGCAAATATCCTACAGCATGACCGTCAGGCGAGGCGATCAAGCCCGTTTCTTCTGCCTTCGGGGTGTGCCGGCTCCATTCGCAGGGTAAGGATACTTTTGTTTCTTCTCAGCCGGCTTTAGAATCTGTACCCCGAATAAGCATGACGACACGACCATCCTCGCAGTACAACACACCTGGAACGAGCACAAGAGTGATTCATCCACACTCATCATTGCACCGGCGTTGTCGAATTCTCCACAATAGTTTGGCGCCGAAAATAACGTAACTAGATGCCTCTTCGCGAAGAACTCGTAGCCATCCTCCACCACCTGGTGGCCGCGACATATCAGGTCCATATCGTGTTTCTGCAGGAAGCGCGAGACGACGTCGGCGCCGAAGGTGAATGAGACTCCACGATCGTTCTCGGACCATCCAGTGATGTCCTTGTCGGGGTCCGACCAAAGCAAATCGGAGAGCAGACCCGTGTCTGGTACGTCCGTCGGCCGCATCACCCGGCGGATCTGCTCCATGGACTGGAGATCCGGGCTCAGCCCACCATGCATGGTGAAGATTTTGTCGTCGATGATCGCAGCAATGGGGAGGCAGTTGAAACAGTCTGTGAACGTCTTCCACAGCTTGATATTATACCGGCGCTTGCCTGTGTGGACGGCCGCCGTCAGTAACATCACACAGCCCATGGCGCAGCAGACGCACATTCATCGTAAAAACCATATATCCTGTTGATACATGCACACTCGTGGTTCCCGCGCAGGATGAAAAAATTCTCGGGGTACTTGATCTTGTACGCAAGGAGCAAACATATCGTCTCCAGCGACTGTTTCCCGCGATCCACGTAGTCGCCTAGGAAGAGGTAATTGGCCTCGGGCGGAAACCCGCCATACTCGAAGAGCCGCAGGAGATCGTAATACTGCCCATGAATGTCCCCGCAAATCTTTATGGGAGCCTCCAACTCGAGGAGGATGGGCTGATTTATGAAGATCTCGCGTGCCTTGGTGCAGAGGTATTTTATTTCGTACTCCTGTAGTTGCACGGGCTTGCCTGGGCGGTTGCCACGCACTGTGAACCAATGAGTATCGCCCGTCTGGAATTTCTTACTCTTCACACACCTTCAAGTAGTCTGTCGATAACAGAGTCGAGGTCAATTTCTATCGTGGAGTCCGCCATGAGTTGTGTCGTGTAGACGTGTGAGGCACTGCAGGTATATGGAGCGTTTGGCGTGAGTGTCGTAGAGTGGTGGTATCTCTGTGGTCTATTCTCTGGCGCAACTTGTCAGGATTCGAACGGTAGTTCAACGAATGAGCGGAAGGGCCTGTGATGACTCGAGGGGAATGGCAGAGCTCAGATAGATAGGAATGATCCGTGATCACTTCCCCACGATTTTGCATGTAGACCGGCTCCATCCATTAGACGCCTTCGACTGTATATAAAATTCTGAGCCACGAAAAAGACAACACTTTCCTTTCTCATTGTTACGTTTGAGGATATAACAAAAAAAAATCTATTTGTATTGTCCTATGCCTAGCTAAGACTCGTGTATGCTTCAACTAGTAAGGGGATGAATTCGCACAACTATTCACAGACGTTTCTCGTTGTCTTCATCCGTTTCGTTCTTCGAGCCACTGTTTTCAGCCACCAAAGTCGTCTGAGAATTTATGCCATGGTGGCGGTGTGTTGGGGAGAGCGAGAGTGATCGAGTGGCTGTGTTGATCGGATCAGTATATAGTTTGGGGCAGTTTGTGCTAGTACAAGACATCGGGTTTAGTCTCCGCCACCGGCTAGCTCATTTGTCACGGCATCGCCACTCGCCGATTCCCCGATCCCCGGCCCTCCCATCTGGTGATTGGAGTGCGAGTCGTCCACGCCCAACGCACTCTCGCGATCTTGAGGCGATAAGCGAAGAAAAAGCCCCCTTTGTTCAGCCCACGTAGCCCACATCACCCCCACTGCCCACATTGCCCACGCTGCCGCCGGTCAAAATACGCGCCACTACACGTTCTCAAGGCTTGGGAGAGCCTGTTAATATTGCCCAATACCCGCCCACGCGCTTTAGTCGTCGCACACGTCAGAGAAGCGAGTCTGAGCCACTAGACCTTACAAGCTCACCAATCTCCGAGCTTACGCCGTCACCGCCCGACCGCACCACTGCTATCGCCGCACTTCGAGCCCGTTTTGGTAATCCACCACAGTTGCCCACGCCGCCACATTCGTCTTCGCATCGCCCTGCCCGATTCAGACCACCTCCGGATATGCCGCAAACGGAGATTGTGCCGTACTCAGGCCGTCGCGACGGCAGCGACATGCTCATCACGGACTTCATACGTGCTGTCCGGAAACATATTGCCCACCATCAGTACGCCACAACCGCAGACCAGATCGACGTGGTGAACCTGTACCTCAAGCCAGACAGCCCAGCGGAGGAACACATGCTTGCGTTGCTGGCAAACTCGCCGGCGCGGGCATCGCTGGACGCGTACCTGGCGGAGCTGAAGGCTAATTTTCCAGGTGTCCAGGCCATGAAGCGCTCAAAAGGGGAGCTGGAGGCCGAGCTTCTCCGCTCAAAGATCACGCTGGCTGAGCTGGCAGAAGGCACGGTCACTCGAGGCGGAGTGCGGCTGTCGGTCCAGGATGATTACGCAAACCGGGTGGAGGACCTGGCCATCGAGGCAAAAGTTCAGGGCCAGATCGGCGGCTTCCATCTGTGGCTGGAGAATCAGCCCGCCGTGCTTCAGGCTGCACTCACGCCAGCCCCAGCCACGTGGACGGATGTTGCGGCCGCAATCAGAGGCGTACCGGCCAGCGAAGTCAATCGGGCGACAGACGCCCACCGCGCCAACGCCGCGTTGCAGCAGCAGGTAGACCAGCTCTCGCGTTCCATGCAGACAATGCGCATTGCCCCGGTTGCCCCGCGCACCCAGACGACGTTCCCGGCGGCATCACGTCCCAGCGCAAACCCTCCGGCATCCATTGCACCGAACATCCAAGCCCAGAGAGGTACTCCACCGACCGCCACACAGAACCCGAGGCCGGACCTCCCTCAGTTCGGACGAGACTACGTCCCCACTCAAGATGAGCTTACACACATCCGCGCCGCCAGGGAACTGGTAGTTTCCATTGCCCAGCCAGACACGGAGCAAGGACGCGCCACATACGCGCAGCAGAAGGCGCAATGGCTGCATGACACGCAAAACGAGCGAGCGACGGGGACCCTTCGTCTATGGGAGAAAGGCCATCCGCTCTCCCCTGGGACGCTGATACCGGGAAGCCGCGAGTGTTGGCAATGTGGGATGGCACGCCATGACGGGGACTGCACCGCCCCGTACATCACGGGCGACGAGCGCCGCTTCCGCTTCCTGTGCCACTCATGGCTCACCGGACGGCGTGCAGCACCACCGGCGAATGCCCCACCGGCCGCACCCGTGAATGCGATTCACTGGTACCAGATCGGAGCGCCGGCGCCAGAGGATTTTCAAGCCGGGCAGGCGTAATAGGCGATACGTCGGCCCAAACCATCGACCGTTTGGACGTGTCGGTGGACTTCCAGTGTAGCAGTGTCGAACAGGATGTATTCGAAAACCAATCAGATCTTGAACTTGTCGACCTCTACACTGCGGATGAGCCTGGGAACTCCCACCCCCTTTTCAAACACGCGGGGGTCTATCTTGAAGGACAAAACGGCAAGAAGATTCGCGGCATGGCTTTGTTCGACGGCGCTGCGGGTGCTGGCATACTCGACAGCGTATGGTTTGGGCAACGGAGGCGAAGACTGGGCGAGTCGAGCATATCCAAGCCACAGAAACGGCTGCGGATGGCGAATGGAGGGGTTGTAACGTCGGATGCCCATTGGCAGGGGATGATCAACGTCGGTGGAATCCGGGTGCAGGGCGACTTCGAGGTGATGGACTCTGGAGGCGCTTGGGACATCCTACTCGGCAAGCCAATCTTGCGGTTGCTGAATGCCGTGCAGGACTTTGCGCAGGACACAGTGCGGATCTCAGGCGAGAAGGGAGCGGTCCTGCTCGAGAATGGTGGAACGATGGCAAAGCTGCACAGGGACACCAGAGCAACAGGGACGAGGATCTGGCGGAAGCCGGGGCGGGAAGCCTCTGTGGGGGACGCATTGTCCGCAATCTCCCCCCCGAGGCGAGTACCTTTCCCAGAACTGTACAAGCAAAATGATACAGCTTGGGCAGAAATAGCAGAAGTACGCACCGTGGAACATGGACCAGACATTGTGGCCACGCGAGTGACCCTCCCGGGGGATGTGTTGTCCGCAACCTCCCCCCCGAGGCGAGTAGAGGATGCTGTCTGCCAACCTCTGGGAAACACTGACGACGTTGCGAGGGGCAAGAGCAAGACCGGGATCCGATGGGACATACACGAGGAGAAAGATGAAGACGAGCCGCTGACTGACGATGAGTTGCTGAGTGTGGACACGACAGAAAAGGGGGACCCACCTGAGCCGACGGTGGCGACATGTGTTGCCCCAATGGGGGCTGAGTTGTGCGCAGCCGCCCCCGCGAGGGGAGTACTGGCGGCTGAGACACTGGAACGTCTACACACTGACCAAACCCCCGAAGGTGTTACACCCGAAGTGCCCATACCACAGAACACGCATGCCCATGAGAAAGAGACTGGAAGTGTAGAGGAATTGCCCACGGCAGTGCGTGTGGCCGCACCGGGGGACGCATTGTCCGCAATCTCCCCCGCGAGGCGAGTCCTCCTATACATCTTCCCGAGATGGTGGGTTGCTAACACCGCCATCTACGGTCCCGAGCCTGCTGCCGAAGCTGCCACCAACGTGATAGACGCCCCGGAGACAAATGCTGCTGAGCCAGGCGTGCCAGCCTACGAGGGGGTTGAATCGTCCGCGATCACCCCCACGAGGCGAGTCCTGCCCAACGAACCCTCCGATGTCAAGATAGCTGACATTCTTGCCATGACACCATGCCCCACACTGGCACACGAAACCCTGTTCACGCGGCTGACAGAGCCATTCAAGCCGGAACGGGTCGCAAGGATCCTGGAACTCGTAGAGATCGGGCCGGACGTCGCAGCAGAGCAGCGGAGGCAGGCGCTTGCGCTGATTGCTGAATTTGCCGACGTGTTCGCGCTGTCGGTCAGTGAGGTCAAGGTAGTCCAAGGCCGGAAATATTCCCCGCGCGTACCTGAGGGCCATGATTTTGGCACGAAGGTCATCAACCAAAGGCCAATGTCGCCACCGCAGCTGCAATTCCTGACCACGCAAGTCGACGAACTGGTCACCGCGGGGATCCTGCGTCGGATAGATGCTAAGGATGTACGTTGCGTCAGCCCGATCACGCTAGCGCCGAAGGAGCAACCCAAAGGGCTGTGCCGGGCGGAGCTGCTACACCAGCTGAATGACCAGTGCGTTGCCGCGGGACTGCCGGCACTGGAAGAGTTGCCACCGAGACCGGAACCAAGGGATCCAGGACCACCGAAGCCCGTGCGGTGGAGGATATGCCACAACTTTGCAGAGCTTAACAAGGTGTGCAAAGTCGTCCCGTTCCCACAGGGAGACATCCGGGACAAGCAGCGGCGCCTAGCGGGCCATAAATACGTCTCGATCTTCGATTTTGCGGCTGGGTTTTATGCACTCGAGGTCGCCGAGTATGCACAGCCATACCTGTGTGTCTTCATCCCTGGACGTGGCTACCATGCGTATACACGCATGCCGTTCGGAGCATCGGACTGCCCAACCGAATTTGGCGATACCGTGGCCGAGAGAATGCACGATCTGACGACCAAAACCCTCCTTGAACTCTTTGTTGACGACGGAGGGAGCGCTGCCGACACCTTCGACGACATGTACTCTCATGTCCGCATCATCCTACAGCGCATTCGGGACGCCGGTCTCTCCCTTTCACCCTCGAAAACCAAGCTCTTTATGACGACGGCGGTGTTTGCAGGCTCCACTGTAGGGCCCAATGGTGTTTCGCCGGATCTCCGCAAGCTCACTACCATCATCAAATGGCGCCAGCCCCAGGATGCGGCCGAGTTGCACTCGTTCCTCGGCCTGGCAGGGTACTTTCGAGATCTGATCAAGGACTACTCCGCACGGGAGAGGCCGCTTCGAGACCTGTTGTCCAGCTTGATCCCCAGTGGAGCGTGCAAGCGTGTCTTCCGAGCATTGATGAGAGGCCGGAAGCTGGCAGCCTTGTGGACGGCCGAGCATACACAATGTTTCTTGGAGCTCAAGCGGCTGATGACTACGGGCCCGGTACTACGAGCGCCGCGCTTCGATACCACGGACAAACACCCCTTCATTGTTACCACGGACGGGTGCAAGGAGGGCTTTGGGGGAGTCCTCGCACAAGAGATGGAAGTCTCGCTGCCGAGCGGGAAACAAGTCACACGGCGGTTTCCAATCGGCTACGCGTCGAAGCGCACGTCACCGGCGGAGTCACGATATCCCCCGCACCTCCTCGAACTGGCCGCCATGAAGTTCGGTTTCGACCAGTTTGACGACGTGATATATGGCTCGCCGGTGATCGTGGAGACAGACTGCCGGGCGATTCGGGATGTCATTGCGGGCGGGAGGTTAACTGCAGCACACACGCGGTGGCAGGAAGGCATATTTGGCCACAACATCGTTGCAGTGAAGCACATCAAGGGCACGTCCAATGTGGCAGCAGACATCATTAGTCGGCAATACAAAGGCGAGGGGAGACGACCCGGGGATGGCAGCGAGTGGACGGTCAGCCCGGACTTGGAAGCACGGACTGGCATTGTTGCCGACGTATTTAGCGTTGCGCTGACCGCAGCCGACCAGTCGACAGGCTGTGAGACAGGGGTGGTGGTCATGGCGATGCCAGAAGGCACGGCCGCGTTGCGTGCACGATTCGCGCAAGAACTGCTGTTCTTGGAAGTCATTGATGCGCTGCTCGAGCTCGACGGCAACGGGAATTCGGACCGACGGCGACGAGCGCGGCACAGGGCTAGTAAGTACTTCATCCAGGATGGGAAGCTCTGGATCTTGGGCAGGTCCGGTGTGCGCGCTAGAACAAAACGGGAGTGCATCACAAGGGAAGAAGCGGTCGCGAAGGCTGGTATTACCCACGCAGAGCATGGGCACTTCGGGAGGGATGCAATCAAGATCGCGCTCATGGATGAGTACCACAGCCCAGGCCTCGACGCGTCAATTGTGAGCGCAATCTCGGAGTGCGGCAAGTGCAAGGGATTCGGTCCACAACACGTCCATGCAAAGCTGGAGCCGATAGTGCGAAGACGGCCCTTTGAGCTGCTGGTCGGCGACTACGTCAAGCTCCCGGAGGGAAAAGGGGGCTACCACACGGTCGGAGTCTACCTGGATACTTACTCCCAGCACGTTTGGGCTTTCAGGTTCAAGTCCCATGGTACAGCGAAGACGACGACAGACTCCTTGCATTGCATCTTCACCGACTTCGCCCCTTCTGACGTCTTCATGTCTGACGGAGGATCGCACTTCGACAACCAGGCTGTTCGGCAGTTCTGCGCGAAGTGGAAAACACACCACCACGTTATCGCCGCATATGCTCCGTGGATCAACGGCCTAGTCGAGGGTGCTAACAGACTCCTTCTATTCATCCTAGTGCGGCTCTGTGCCCCGGACATTGGCGTTGATGCGTTCAGCGAAGCAGGCTGGGAGGCACTGCCACGGAACTGGCCAGATTACCTGGAGCAAGCGGTCAGTATCCTGAACTGGCGCATTCTGCCTTCCGTGCGCTTCTCACCGAAGGAACTCCTCTTTGGCTCGGCGGTGAACTCGGCGAAGAACCCGATATCCATGACAGAGCGGCAGCTGACCGAGGGGGACGTGGAGGTCAACATGGCGTACATCGAGCAACAGCAACTGGACGGGTATGCGGAGCGGGTAAGGTACGCGTTGGGACGCAAACGGGCCTTCGACAAGAGGTTGGAGAGTCAGAGGCCGGGTGAGGTAATCTTCAAGCCAGGCGACATGGTGCAGGTGCACAGGGGCCATCTAGACACCCTTTCAGCGCACAGGAAGCTGGTTTACTCTTGGGGAGCGCCGTACCGCGTCAAGTCGCGGCTCCTGAACTCGTACGTCTTGGAGACAGTAGGTGGGGTTGAGCGGAAAGGGCTGGTCCACGCGAGGAGGTTGAAGGAGTTCGTGCCGAAGAAGGGGTCGGGCCTGGAGGCTGTTCATCATGCGTTTCTTGCTGCGAGAGCTGTTGTCGGCGTCGGGACGTCGCCATGAGAGGGGGGGGCACCTGTGTTGGGGAGAGCGAGAGTGATCGAGTGGCTGTGTTGATCGGATCAGTATATAGTTTGGGGCAGTTTGTGCTAGTACAAGACATCGGGTTTAGTCCACCTGCCCTGCCCCAATATAGCAAGCGATGAGTTGGCACGATCAGATGGTTACCCGGCAACTGATGGGTATTGGAATGGGCCTGGTAACAGACCCTCCGCTAAAACCTCTCTGGATCTGCTCGCCCACTGACCTCCAGCTCAAATGATTCTGGGCCTTTCCGGTCATACCGGCTGGCATTGTTGCCGTGCTCTCGGCGCCGCTGCTGGCTGACGCATCACACCTGCTCCATCTCACGTGCCAATTTTCATTCCTCCACGCCGTCACCGTCCGCTGTCACTGCCTGTCGACACCGCCCGTCATCACCACCCGCCGTCTGTCCACCGAGCTTCCTTTTCGCCTCAGCGCTTGAATATTACAACGATGCCCCAAGCCGATACGTACACAAGCTCGCTGGGCCGCGTTGCACCTGCTCGGCCACGTCACTCACACCAGGCCATCTCTGCACCCCCGCCGCCAGTCAATATTCGCCTCTCCGCCATGTGATCCTCTGCACCTATCAAACTCATCTCCATCACTTTGCTTCTCTATTCTACATCATGTTCTTCATCGATTACAAATGAAATCATCTTGTCTTCTCTTTCTCTTGACCCAGCATGTCAAACACCCGTCGCGGGGCGGGAAAGTCGCTCAAAGGCCTAGCTAAGCAAAGCAAGGTCCACTATGGCCGCCCTGGCCTTTCCAACTTGACTTCGAAGTCGTCTTCTGCCACTGTTCCACTGAACAAAACAGCTTCTCAACGTGCTGAGGCTAAACGTCTGTATCATCAGCAGTTGGAAGGTGAGTACATCAATATGACTGCTACTTGCTCTCATTGACAACACTCAGGTCTCAGTTACGTTCAGCGCGAGGACATTGTCGGGTCGGGCCCAGAAATTGAAGATGTCGACATGATCGATGCCACTACAGCCTCGCTTAGCGCGGACTGGGAGGATTGGGAGGATTCCGGTGTCCTGTACCAGACACTCCCCCCTGGCGAAGAAGGATCGTTACACAGTCATGCAGGTGGAGAGCGTCTATGGCATGGGATGATGGATAACATGCGATCAGGGTGCGATCATCTGGTTTGCCAGGCAGCATGACGATATCCTTCTCATCTTTGTTTATCTTAGACGAGGAGATTCCCGCATCCGGAGCGATCGTATTCTACGCCAGAATGAGTCCTGGAATGCACAAATGCCGCAGCTTGCAGACGCTTATCTGCATTTCAAGGCAAACGACACTGGCAACACTGACAGTGAAGCAATACGAGGAGGATGGCCACTCCGTGGTCTAGGTCTCGAAGGTGTGTGTTCTCTGTTCTATGTTATATCAATTGTTCCAAACTCTACAGAGTGTGCTATCCGATACTTCCTGCATCCACCGGATGTCCAACGTCCAAACAAAACGCTGCTTCGCTGTGGCTATATTGGTGGAGCACCGGAGCAACCAATGATTGCCTTTGACCTGCGCACATTTGAAATATATCGAGAAATACACCGTGTCTGTCCCCGATTTACTATAGATTCTCTGGCTCGTGTGCTGAATCATCTCCATGACGTGCGTTACATACATTTCCATTCGGAAAATTTCTCACAGTCTGTCAAAGGTGCCACGGCAATGATACCTCCAGGAGCAACTGACGACTGCATATGATGCCTACCTGGCAATTCTTTGTCATGTCCGTCAGCGCACACAGGTTGCCTTGGGCCGTAATGAGAATTGGGAGGCACAACACGTCTGTGCACCTTGTTTTCATAAGGTGCAGAATGAACCTAAGCTCAAGCATTCTTTTCTTGGGAGTATCGATGGAAACAGCTCCCTCAAACTAGTCGATAGTTTTTTCCGTCCTGGAAACACCTGATTTGATCAGCGAAAATCAACATCATTCCGTTGGCTCACTACAGCTGAAGTGGATCTCTTCAAGGATGAAGTCCGAAACTCTGAGGTAATCAATCTGTTGACGACGGCACTTATTTTACTCAGTCCCTTCCAGCGTGCTCATAACGGATCTCTTCGTGCAGGCTCAGATGTCAGTATCCCAGATGCGGATCACAGTGGTTCTGTGACTTCCGACACAGCACCAGGAGCCTTTAAATCCAATTTGAATGGTGCAGATCGTGACGAAGTTGCATGGCTCAATGTGAACGAGCTCGAGGAATCAGATGCCCAAAAGCTCGAGCAAAGCATCAGTGTGTGCGTCGAACGATGGAAGGCAGCTGGGCCAGAGGCACGGAAAAAAATGTTCGCGATGTTCGCAATTTCGGGAATTTTCTTGGCGGTTTGCCGTCACGGTCATGTGCTTGTGATGTGTGATATGATCCGCAGCGGCGAATTGTAAGTCCAATTACCTGTGTAAGAAAAATCTGAACTGAGGATCCGTGTAGGATGAAATACCCACTTGCTCTGGTCTCTTATCTTTTGGACACCTACGGCGCAAATATTGGACTGGGTTACGACATTATGTGCGCCTTCTTCAAAACGTTACTCCGAAGTTCCTTGGGTGCCAAGGCTGTTGCTATGGGACTCAGTGGAATCGTCCCAGCTTTTCACGGACATGCTCATAACCGGGAGTGTCAGCTGGGTTGGCACCCAATGTACCATGAAGGTGTTGGCTTAGAGGATTTCGAAGAGTGTGAACGGACTTTCTGCCAATCCAATCAGCTGGCCAGCAGCACAAGACTTGCAACCCCCTTCCATCGTCAGCAGCAAATTGATGAACATTTTTTCTTCCATGATCTCGACAAGAACGCATCGATAGGTACAGCCACCTAAAGTTAGCGAATGAAATCTGATCTCCTATCAGGCAGTTTTATTTTCCAGAACTACCGGCAAGCCATCGAGAAGATCGCTGCAAATACGGTCCAGTTACGCATCCTGGAGGATGAGCTGCAAACAAATGCTTCAGACTATGAGCAAGACTTGAAGGACGAGCTGACGCACCTGCAAGGACTCAAGCACGAGTCGGAAGAGATGATTCAATTGATCGACTACATGGAATTACTCGGCAAGCTTTCGAAAGCTAAGTACGTGATCATCTGCACGTACACCTGTATAATTGACAAGTGACTTGTGTCAGAGATGCCTCGGTATCTGCCGCAGCAGATTATCACAATCTGGACCGCCTCATCATAGAGAATGGGATCAAGGCCCCACGGATAGCTAGCATCCGGGCACGCTACCGAACTTCCCACACTCATCATCTACTTGTGGAAGAGGAGGTTGCGCGCTTCGAAGTCGAGAAAGGAATTGAGAAGCGCTGGGATCAAAGCTCACCGGAATATAAACAGACACTAAGTATGGCAAATCAGCGGCAATATCGACGTGCCCTGGACAAGCTTGAGCGTCTTGTAGTCCAGCGATTGCTGGAGCTGACAAAGCTATCAATGAGCGGCATTGGTTTGGGCTTTTCCTGACGTCTGTCAACGAGACTGATACTTCTATTTCAGGATATAAGTTACGCGATAAGATTAGCAAAGCGTTGCGATCTCGGGCCGATGCCATTCAGCGTGCCTTGAGCGATTTGAATGCTGCTGGGGCCCGGTTGACACCGGCCCGGAAACCTATCGCATGGGCCGACATTGTTCACACAGCTTCTCTTGCGGAGTTCGATCTTCTTCGAGAGACCCGTGCAGATATCAGAAATCTTCCCTGGACCCAGCCATTGCGACGAGAAGCTGCCTCGTTGTATTTCGGGATCAAGCGCGCAGAGGAAGAGATTATACGGCTCAACGTTGAGATCAAGCGGGTGATCACTGCTATGCTGGATGAGCATGTTGATCTCTACAGAGCAATCACGTCTCATCTGGTTGTGCAGCCCAACCTGGCTCGTGAACTCTCACGCCAGTGGGTGTATCAGAGCCAGATGAACAAAGCAGTTCTCGAGCGCCTTCTCAAAACCAGCCGCTTACCGGGTTTCTCTGGCTCGCTGCTTCCTGGCGACACAGTTGGGCGTGATCCAGCATGGAATACAACATATCCACTGCCTGAGTGGGCAACCACAACGCTGGGGCTACGACAGATATCAATCGAGTTCGAGGAAGACAACGACGCTGCCAAAATACCACGAGAGCTACAAGGGGTCGATGACGACCTCATAGTGGATCTAATGGATTGTTTACAGGTTACGGTAGTTGACTGAAATGTGCTTATCTACTGTATAAAGACGATTGAAGTGATGAATCTGGTTTGATAATCGACAGTGTGAACCAGCACTGTTCTCAAATCGTTTCTTGTACATTCTAATTCAAGTATGCATTATTATTTCTTTGTCCTGTGCTCAGATCTAGAAAGATTTCTGGTGTATCTCGCTACTGTCATATCTCCCTAAGTAATGTATCTACATTGAACCTTGAGCCTGGGGTAATCCGTGCATGGATCAATGACAGATCTACATCACCTGTCAATTGCTTCGGTTTCTCTCCCACTTTCATGTCAACTGCAAATATTCATCTCCCACCTCCACCGACACGAGATGGAGTGCCTGAGTCTATTCCCTCACTCCATGCCTCTACACTCACCCCTCTTGGGGTGCACAATGTACGACGCTATATGCTCAGCTGCCCTCTTACCCCGAATGTATTCTCGCGTCTTGAATCACGCTTCAAAGCAAGTGATATGGCCTTCATCTGTGCTGGAGCCAGTAGCGATGGCCAACATCGCATCAACCCGAATCGGTTCCATCCCGAGTTTCTTGAGCTGTATGACAGTCTCCCAACAGGCGCTCCAGGGCAGACAGCTCGGAGGGAGTTTTCTGGGGACCTGATGAATCTCCTCTTTGACGTGGTAAGTCATTTGACATGCGGACTTTGAGGAACTGACACGCTCTACAGGCTACCAAGTGGGATCGATGCACGGGCGGCACAACATTTGTATTCCACGTCGCTGGGACCACCATTCCAGGTCTGCCCGTCGTCCCGGAGCGTCTCAAAGCTGATGTCTACATACCGCCCCACTTCCTTGCGGAGAATCCGGGTGCGCATGCCGATATAGCTTTCTTAGTCCAAACTTTCCTTGAACGCGTTGGGGTACCCACGGTGAATAGCTGGAGAAGGCGTGCAGTACAAATGTGGAGTCTTTCGCAGCAAGGACATATCCCACCCATCTCTCTCCCGACTGCTCTTATCCCTAATCCAGTCACTCAACGCTCTAGTTCATATACGTTCCGTGGCCGCCCCGCTAACAGTCTCATGTTGACTGCGATGGTTTCGAGTTCATCGGCGTCGGGAACACCTTTGTCTCCGGGATTGTCGACTCCTCGAGTGCCGGTGTGGGATATCGATGAGCTGACGTATCCAGTGGTCATCAAAGAGCAGCAAGAGGAGATCGAGGAGAAGACGGGACTCATTGGGGCGCTGACGGCACGTATAGATGACCTACAAGAGATAATTGATGCGTTGCGCGAGTCGATCAACCAAGTGGAAGATGAAGCTCAACGGCAGCGTGCAGAGATCACTGTGCTTTGCAGCCAGGTGGAGGCGCTTTCGGCAGAAGTTATTAGGCTTGGTGGTAAGTCTGCCATGTACGCCTGATTGTTCTTAGTCTTGTACAGGCTCAGCAGGATGTGACCCAGCGTCCACTTGTCCACCCGCATACACATCACTGTCCGAGGCCTCGTCAGCATTGCCTCATGGACCACCGTCTCACACTCCATCCCGATCAATGCCGTCTCAATCGCGACTGCCTCCCAGGATACGAGCCGCTGCTCCAATCAGTACCCACGGCCGGTTCTTGGCAACCGATTCTCGGCCTCTACCCCGCGTGAACATTGTTCTGCAGCAGCATGATCTTATGCATCTACGTGAAGCAGTTGGGTTTGTTGCAGAGTTAGCTGAGCCAGCCTCGTGGAGCACGTACTTGCAGAGGCTGCATCTCTCTGAAGCAGTACTGGCACAACTTCTGGATGCGTTAGATCATGACATTTGACTCACACGTACGTACTATGATCAGTCTCAAAATATATGTTTTTCATTCCGGATCCAATATATAGTATCGTGAATATGAATACTGTTCAGACTGAGTTATGATAACCACGCGCGTATCAAAGTCTCATCTATTCCATTATGATTCTCAAATAAGATCTGTGACTCGGAAGGCATTTGTGAAGTTACTAGTAACGGTCTGTGGACACACCAAGTCTCCACGCGTCTAGGTCTCCGCTGGTCTGCCATGTCTCATCCTACAATTGCATCTATCAGCCAGCCTCGCACACGACAGCCTGCACCAGCCCGTGCGCCACTGACAGCACAGCAGAAGGAAGAACGACGGGATAGGAATAGTAAGAACACTGAAGAGATTGACGCATGCGTCGGTGAGTTCTAGTCTTAGCATAGATGAAGTATCTCGAACCTCTCATAGCGGACTGGTTCAAGTCAACGATAGAACGGGCAGATGAGCTGTCAAAGCGCTTCAACAAAAAACCCCGCTACTTCCTCGATCATTTTTTCCAAGGCGGCGCCAGAATGGTGAATCATCAAGAAAAGGTCAATCCTTTCAACGCTTTTAAAGCCTTCAAGGCAAAGGAGATCCGAGAAGGCAGGGCAATTGGATTGCTCTTTTCCAGTGGCTGACAAGTCTTCAGCTGAAGGTGTGGCACCAAACGCACCAGCGCTAAGCCAGGGCTTCATCGAGGAGTATCGTCAGCTCTCAGATGAGGAGAAAGAGAAGCTGCGTACTGAGTTCGTACATATGATGAGTTCGAGCGTGTTCCACCTGACGATCATACACTTTTCTAGCTATACCGCTATCAAGCAAGAGTCGATGGCAGTCAAGAGGGACACACCTCGTGCACGTTCACAGGATGTGTCCAATGTGGTGCGCAACATGATCATGCTGGTGAGTTTCCTTTGCTGCAACCCTACGCGTTGAAATTGAAACAAACTATGAGGTACAAGCGTTGAGCTACAGGGTCGGAGTAGAGGGCTTCTTTTGCATTGTGCGAAATAGCACGGATTTCTACATGGAGCCTCAGTGGTTTTTCACGACACAAGAGTTGGAACGTTACATGCCTATTGCCGTTGGACAAAAATGGGACTTGGCCACCGTGGGAGCAAAGGTCGAGGCGTTTGCAGTTGCAGGCTGTGATACAATGCGTAAGTCAATTGAGCTAGACAAGACTGGGTTCCGTACTCATATTGGTACATCGCAGGGTTGCTGAGAACGTCGAAACAAAAATGTGATTTCTTGAAGGTGGAGATCCGGGAATTCGTCAATGTGGGACTGCGTACGCTCCAATTGACTCTGTTGGAACAGTTACTAAGTGGCTGCACATAGGTGAAATCACAAAGCTTCCGAAAGCCGTTATGCAATACGTGCACTACCGGGAGGACATCGTTGTCAGCCTTGGCGTCAAGCTGATAGGATGGACGGCGGGTGACATAGTCAATCCGAGCAACCTGAGTACATCAGTTTCTGTCCTCACCGAGCTACGTGATGCTTTCAGGAAGGGAGACGCACGCTGGGTCAAGCTAACACGTGAAGAACGACAGGAGGAACGTGAGCAGTGGGATGCAGACGTAGAGGCTGGGATTGTGATTCCAAAGTCCCGTGAGCAGCGGTCTGACAAAGGGAAGAAACGAAAACGGCACGAGCCCGCAGACTCAGAGAACAGGGAGGATGATGAGGATGGCGTCTTACCCGGAAGCAACGAGCCAGGACCGCAGGTTGAGGAGCCAGGGGAAGGGGATGTCGAGGAAGAGCCACCAGCAAAGCGATCGCGTCGCAGTGCCAAAAGCAATGGAAAGCGAGCGAATGCGGAAAAGGAGAACATGTCGGTGCAACCAAAGAAGGGGAACCGGGCCCGCGACGATAAGACCACCCGCCAGGCTATCGCCCGGCAGAAGGGAAGGCGTTCAGCGAACAGCAGTGCAATTGCAGCGGACAGCGACGTCAGTGATCCCACAGCCCCTGCTCAAGTCCCTCCACCCTTCACAGCGACTGCTGGTTCTCAGTGAGCGAGAGCGGCCCATCGCTTGATAACGTAGATCAAGATTCTGAGTGGTTATCGAGAGCTACGGACAGTAGTGTTAAGTGATGTATCCAAGTAGAATGAAATGAGTCGGAGATGCGAATATTGACCGGCGGCGGGGGTGCAGAGATGGCCTGGTGTGAGTGACGTGGCCGAGCAGGTGCGACGCGGCCCAGCGAGCTTGTGTACGTATCGGCTTGGGGCATCGTTGTAATATTCAAGCGCTGAGGCGAAAAGGAAGCTCGGTGGACAGACGGCGGGTGGTGATGACGGGCGGTGTCGACAGGCAGTGACAGCGGACGGTGACGGCGTGGAGGAATGAAAATTGGCACGTGAGACGGAGCAGGTGTGATGCGTCAGCCAGCAGCGGCGCCGAGAGCACGGCAACAATGCCAGCCGGTATGACCGGAAAGGCCCAGAATCATTTGAGCTGGAGGTCAGTGGGCGAGCAGATCCAGAGAGGTTTTAGCGGAGGGTCTGTTACCAGGCCCATTCCAATACCCATCAGTTGCCGGGTAACCATCTGATCGTGCCAACTCATCGCTTGCTATATTGGGGCAGGGCAGGTGTTTAGTCTCCGCCACCGGCTAGCTCATTTGTCACGGCATCGCCACTCGCCGATTCCCCGATCCCCGGCCCTCCCAGCGGGCAACAGGAACCGCCAGCAAAGCGGAATGCAGCGGACGGCGTGATTCCCGATGTGGAGCATGTCCAGTGGCTCGGACAGCGGCGGTGGCTGCGGTAATCTGCGAGTTCATGCTGAGTAGAGTATGGCCCCGACCGCGACGTCGTTCAACGTTGTGCACAGGATCTTGCTCGTCGGACAATCTCGGGGGAACGATCTCGTCTCCAAAGATCCCACCGATCTCCTCCAGAGTCTGGTTGCCTGTTTCAACGAAGATGAGATGCACAATGAGCCCGGAGATGATGCAAAACCCGGCCAGAACAAAGAAGACCTGTCCCCGGAGCGTTCTGAACATCGAAGGGGCTGCAAATGCCACAACAAATTCGAAGAGCCAATCGGAAATGGTAGACATGGCCATGCCTTTGGCGCGAACTTTGAGAGGAAAAAGCTCAGCTCCCAGTAGCCAAGGGATTGGACCCCATCTCCGAGGTCATTCAACGAGGGCTGATCAGAAACCAGAGCACTCACGTCGAGGCAAAAGAGAAAAGATAGATGGACATTCCGCCCACAACACCAAGAGCGCCACTATCAGTGGACAGTTTATGCGGCCAGTGCTCGATGCATACTTCAAATGCCCCGACGATTGTCAGTGCTATTGTCAAGGCAACACTTCCTAAAATCAAGCACCGAATACGACCAAGCTTGTCGATGTAGAGGACTGCAGGGATGGTCCCAGCCAGATAGAACGCGGAGCAGATACTGGACCAGAAGAGGGCTTTGGCAACAGGGTATCCAGCTTTTGTCAAGATTTCTGGAAGAAAGTGCAGCAACGCGTTGATTCCATTCAGTTGAGCAAACATGTGCGCCGTCCAAGCCATGACTGAGCGTCGGGTGTACTCTTGAAATAAGCAGCGCCAAGGGGAATCTGTAGAAGTGTTGTGGCGCTCCTCGAATTCAAGAGTGTCGATAATCTCATGGTAGGTACGATTAACCATGACGTCTGTAATATCGCCGCCGGCGTGCAAATCTGCAAGCGTCCACAAGCCTTCTGTCTTGAATCCATTTTGAATGAGCCAGCGAGGAGTTTCAGGAAGATAGAACGTCCAGGTAAAGAGCACCAAGGAGACGAACGCTTGCACGGCATAGGGTCCGCGCCAAGAGTGTCCAGAGCGCATATCGAAAAAGAACGCATATCCGATCCAAGACGACAAGCAATAGCCCAGATTCTCCCACAGACCTTCCAGGGCGATGAACATACCACGAGCGCTGGTGGGTGCAATTTCACATTGATAGATGGGCACCGTGGTGCTGAGAATACCAGTCCCGACACCTTGAATCATACGACCGACGACTAGCGAGGCGAAACTGGGCGAAAACATTTGGATGATGGCTGCCATCGGGTCAGATAGACAACACTTCTCAGCTCGCACACTCACATGCGCCTAAGTAGATAGCACCGCCGATACGTATCGTCAGCCTGCGCCCCAGATAGTCGGAAAGATACGCTGAGAGAAGAGCGGCGAAGAGTGCAGTGATGTTCAGACAGGCGACCATAAGTGCAGGCAAGAGCGGCCACACTTCCATGTCCCCCATCTTGACTTCTTCAACGGAAACTCCTTGTCCATACATTCGATGGATGAAATTAGGCTGAACCTGGAATGCCGCAGTCACGCCTTGCGAATAACCGAAGAGAGCATCGCCCAGAGAAGCCATCGCGCCGGAAACATAAAGGAGGGGATTGCCAACCCACGAACGAGCGTACCGAACCGTGTACGCTTTGGGTCGCATGCGTTGAAGAAATAGCTCGCCATAGACCATAGCGTGTGTGTTAGGATGATGGGTGTAGGAGGACAGGAGAATGCGGTGGTATGCGAACACAGTTTACATCGGCCTTGTTGACTGCTATGCAAGCGCCCCCGTCAAATCTCATCATCATCTTTCAGTCAAGTATAGCACATCACTGAGCCCGAAGCCGGAGAGGGACGCTATACTGTTCTTTGAGACGATTGCCGCGCGAAGAGGTTCTCTTCACGCAACAAAGACCCGTGTGAAACTTGATATCGTTTCGGCCACACGAACTTTTGACTTCCTTCTTCTACCTCCACCTCGTGGTCATAACCATCTGAACCGCGCCATCGAGCCAGGCCATCCCAGCCGTTTTGGTTTTTATTCATCCTTGACTCCTCAAAAAATCTACCGCTCCGCTTTTTTGCGCGTCAGATTTGCCACTACCAATGTCACAAGCAGCCATGTCTTCATCTTCATCCACGTCTGTCTAGTTTCCTCTCGATGTTTTTGCTCCCGATTTCTGAGCCGCTTGGGATTATAGCCCTGTGCCCGCCAATTCTGAGTGGAAAGCTAATCTTCGCCCACCACCAAAAGACGCAAGACCGCAAACTCTCGATGTTACCGCCACGAAGGGGATGGAATTCGAGGACATGTTCCTCCGCCGAGAACTGCTTATGGGCATATTCGAAGCAGGTTTTGAAAAGCCTTCGCCCATCCAGGAAGAAGCCATCCCCATCGCATTGACTAAACGCGACGTGCTTGCACGCGCCAAGAACGGGACGGGCAAGACCGCCGCATTCACGATCCCTGCCTTGCAGCAGGTCGATGTCACCAAGAACAAGATTCAAGCGCTCTTACTGGTCCCTACTCGGGAACTTGCACTGCAGACCTCACAAGTCTGTAAGAACTTGGGAAAGCACATGGGCGTCCAAGTCATGGTTACAACTGGTGGAACAACGCTCAAGGACGATATCATGCGATTATCCGAAACGGTTCATGTACTGGTTGGTACACCCGGCCGTATACTCGACCTTGCCGGCAAAAGTGTGGCCGACCTGAGCGAGTGTCCCGTATTTGTTATGGATGAGGCAGACAAGCTGCTGTCTCCGGAATTCTCGCCGGTTATGGAGCAGCTTTTGTCATATCTGCCTCCGCAGAGACAGGTCATGTTGTTTAGTGCCACGTTCCCCATGATCGTGAAAGATTTCAAGGCACGATATGCTGCCATGAACCATATCTTTTCGACACTGACATTTTCTCTAGGAGAAGCATATGAAAGCTCCCTACGAGATCAACCTCATGGATGAATTGACTCTGCGTGGTGTTACACAGTACTACGCCTACGTCGAGGAGAGACAAAAGGTGCACTGTTTGAACACGCTCTTCTCCAAGGTATATGTCGTCTCCTCGTCCTATTCAGCTTTTTCTGATGTGTCTGCTCATCAGCTGCAAATCAACCAGTCGATTATCTTTTGCAACTCTACGAACCGGGTCGAATTGCTCGCCAAGAAAGTCACAGAGTTGGGATACTCTTGCTTCTACTCGCACGCGAAAATGTTGCAGTCACACCGTAACCGCGTGTTCCACGATTTCCGTAACGGTGTCTGCCGCAATCTTGTCTGTTCCGACCTCTTGACGCGTGGTATCGACATTCAAGCGGTGAACGTCGTCATCAACTTCGATTTTCCCAAGAACTCGGAGACCTATCTCCACCGTATCGGTCGATCAGGTCGCTTTGGACATCTTGGACTTGCGATCAATCTGGTCACCTACGAGGATCGGTTCAACCTGTACAAAATCGAACAGGAACTGGGCACCGAGATCAGCCCTATCCCGCAAGTCATTGACCGTGGATTGTATGTCGATCCGAGCGCGACCCAGGACGATGTGCAACGGCCCCAGCCGCAGCAGCCGCAGCAACAGCAGCAACAGATGAAACCAGCGCAACCCATGGGACCTCCCCGCCCTATTGTGCAGCATATGCAACCCCAGCCACAGGTCCTTTACCAGAGCAATGGTGGCGCTCCCCAACAACGATCGCCAATGCCGATGCGGGCGAACGGATCAATGGCACCAGGGCCTGGGGCTTATCGTGGCCAGCCAGGACCTCGATGAAGAGCTATCTGAGGCGCGGTCTGCCACTGCTCTTTCACCAAGCAGCCGCCACCGACTACATGACCCATTTCCGCAGTACCTCGTCTCATATATTACACTAAACACAAGCAAATCGTCCCCTTCCATTCTGGTTCCTTCACGACTGTATTTTTATCGACCCTCACGATTTGCTTGCTATGTCGACCCAGAACCTCTTTCTCACTTTTCTTGCGAGGCTGCACTTTTAATGGACGTGATGTCGGGCATTTCTTTGGCGCGGTTGAGTTGTTGGATTTTGTCTGTGTGTGGGCTGCAGGGCAGTGGGATATCAAGGCAGATAGTTTGCGTGCTAGCACAGTTCTCGCAGTTGTGTAATAGTCACAGTTCAATGCGAATATCGCCGTCCTAGCTTCCTACTTCCATTGTTGCTAATGTGTTCTTATGACAGCTCCGGCATCCGACGAACGACTTTGCCTTCGTTCCTCGCGTGTATCTTGAGCTTTGCGAGGATTGGAGAATCGGCCCATCGTGGCGGAGGCGTTCGCTCCGCGGTAGCCCAATAGTAAATGTCCCAGTCTGCTTCGTCCAAGAGCTGTATATGGCATCAGCAACAGGTTTATGCCGGGCGATATATTCTATGTAGTACCTTATCATACTCCTTGAGCTCCGCCTCGGACATTGTCGGCAGATTTTCCCGAGCAAATGTGCTCAAAATCAGGTCACTCTCCAGTGTCCCACGTTTCCGTGACTGATATACGAGCCGTGCGCGCATTGTCGACACATTCTCGTTCAGTCGCGGAAGAGGGGTTGGAGCTGGAGCGTCAGACGGAGTTTGAGTGTTGGATAGATGCTCCGGCGAATGGGGGAGAGGCCACGGGTCTGCACGCACGATAGCTGAGCGCGACAAGAATCGAATCTGACGTTGCAGCATGCCAGTGAACGGTGGTCTCAGCGGAGTGATGACTGTCCTACTCGGGAGGATATTCCTTTGCACCTGCTTGCCATCAATGTCATCAGAGACTCTTTTCTTGATCACCGACAACTTTCCTCTCGGATTATGAAGGCGAACTATAAGGTCTGTACGCGATGACACGGCCAAGAACGCGAATTTCAATGGTTTCTTCAGTTCTCCAACATTTGCGGGACCGTTTATCGGCAAGGGAACATTCTCTTCACTTCGGATGGGAATTCGTTGCTTAGCCCAGTCGGCAATCGAGTCTCTGTGTTCGACTTGGTGAAGTGCGTGCACATACGGTGACGCCCTGATAAGAAGCTGACACCTCCTCGATATCAGCAACAAATCCTTCACTCTCCCGTTCGAGAACCGCAAAAACATTGCATCGCTTGCTCTAAGTCCAGATTCCAATGTTCTCATCTCGGTCGATGATGGTTAGGGTGCCATAAGATTGCTCCATTGATTCTCATATTTTCGGCAGATGGCCGCGCCCTTCTAGTCAACTTCCGTCGAGGAGTCGTTCTTCATCACTTCAACTTCAAAAAACCGGTCAAGGACATCAAGTTCTCTCCGGACGGCAAGTGAGTGTCTAATGATTGGTTTACACAGCGCCGAAACCTGATCTGGGAATCCAAAGATACATCGCGATAACGCATGGCACCCATGTCCAAGTGTGGTGTACACCGAACCATCTCGCTCGCGAGTTTGCCCCCTTCAACCTACACCGAACGTATACCGGCCATCATGAGGAGGTCCTGAGTATTCAGTGGTCAAACGACTCGACGTGCGTTCTTTACTTGTTATCTCTCGGTTGTGGCTAAACACTACGGCAGATGCTTCATCTCTACCTCCCAAGATATGACCGCTCGGCTATTCACGCTGAACCCAGTTGAAGGGTTCAGACCAAAGACATTCGCCGGTCACAGGGATGCCGTTCTCGGTGCATATTTCTCAGCCGATGGAAACACAGTGAGCACGCGCTCTCTCCCATTATTATCCACGCCTGGTCTCATATCGGGATGCACAGATATACACAGTCAGTCGTGACGGCGCTGTCTTCACGTGGAAAGAAAAGGAGTCGGAGGAAGAAAACGAAGACGATGACGAACCTGTGGCCTCGAGCTCTAAAGGGACTGATGCCAACCGAATCGCCAACACTCGATGGGGTGTGCACAAACGCCATTACTTCAAGCAGGCTAACACGAAAGTGGTGTGCGGGACCTTCCATGCTGCTTCCAATCTGCTTGTTGTCGGGTTCTCCACCGGCGTATTTGGGCTCTGGGAGATGCCCGCCTTCTCAAACATCCACACACTCAGCGTCTCGCAAGAAAAAATCACCTCGGTGGCGATCAATGCATCGGGAGAATGGCTGGCATTTGGGGCGCGGAAGATGGGGCAGCTGTTGGTCTGGGAATGGCAGTCCGAGTCATATGTTCTCAAACAGCAGGGCCACTTTTACGACATGAATACCCTGGCTTATTCGCCGGACGGGCAGACTATTGCTACCGGAGGTGATGATGGTAAGGTCAAAGTCTGGTCGACGCATACTGGCTTCTGCTTTGTCACCTTCACTGAACACTCGGCGCCTGTTTCTTGTGTCGAGTTCGCCAAGCACGGGAGTGTTTTGTTCACCGCGTCTCTTGATGGGACAGTGCGGGCATATGACCTAGTGCGCTACCGCAACTTCCGGACGTTCACGTCGCCTTCCCCCGTCCAGTTCTCTGCCCTGGCCGTGGATCCTTCGGGCGAAGTCGTCGCAGCTGGATCGACCGACTCGTTCGAGGTGTTTTTGTGGTCTGTACAGACCGGGAAGCTGCTCGACATCCTGACGGGACACGAGGGTCCCGTGAGCTCGCTCGCTTTCTCGCCAGCAGGCGCGAATCAGCTCGTCAGCGGCTCTTGGGACCGCTCAGTCCGCGTCTGGAGTGTGTTCGGGCGCTCGCGGGCTGTGGAGCCCTTCGCACTCAATTCGGATGTGCTCGCTGTCGCGTTCCGACCAGACGGCAAAGAACTTGCTGCTGCGACTCTGGATGGGCAACTCTCATTTTTCGATATCGAGTTGAGCAAACAAACGAACACGATCGAGGGTAGGAAAGATGTGTCCGGTGGCAGGAAGGCTCACGACCGCAATTCTGCCGCGAACAGTACGTCGGGTAAAGCGTACAACAGTTTGGCATACACTGCCGATGGTCGATGTGTTCTAGCCGGCGGGAACAGCAAGTATGTTGTCCTCTACGATGTGCGGGACGGAGAAGGTGTCATGGTCAAGAAATTCCAGATATCCGAGAATCTGTCATTGGATGGGACCGAGGAGTTTCTCGATAGCCGCAAGGTTAACGATGCAGGAATTAACACGGACTTGATCGACACTCATGGGGACGACAGCGACCTGGAAGATCGGCTGGACGTCAGCCTCCCTGGAGCAAGTCGAGGTGCCGGTGACATGTCTATCAGGCGCTACCGTCAAGAGGCCCGGACCAAATGCGTTCGGTTCTCTCCCACTGGACGTGCTTGGGCTGCGGCTTCAACCGAAGGCCTTCTGATCTACTCCCTGGATGACGCAGTCGCCTTCGATCCTTTTGACCTGTCCATGGATTTGACCCCGCAGGCAATCCAAGACACACTCGCTGATGGAGAGTATCTCAAAGCACTCGTGATGGCTTTCCGTCTGAATGAGAAACCACTCATTCAAACTGTGTTTGAGGCTGTCCCTCGGGCCGATATCCGTCTCGTCGCTCGGCAACTTCCCGTCATTTACGTGCCTCTCCTCTTGAGATTCGTCGCAGAACACTTAGCACGGACGCCGCACCTCGAGTTTGATCTTCTTTGGACAAATACTCTCCTGATGGCTCACGGACGTATGTTGCGCGATCGTTCAGCTGAATTTGCGAGCGTTTTCCGAGCGTTGCAAAAGAGTCTGGCGGATTTCGAGCAGTCCATTTCTCGCATGTATGTTGTTTGTTTTCGTCCGTCGGGTCCTGCTGACCACCTCGATCAGCTGCGAGGAAAACGGCTCGACACTGGCATATTTAATGGACCAATCCAAGGTCCAAGTCACGAGAGGGAGCGAGGATATTGAAATGAATGCTGCATGATCGCTTGTATCAAAATATTGAAGATCCACGGTCGAGAATAAAGAGCAGTGGCCGGAACATTACTCCGGCGTTCGATGAGCGAAGAGAACATGTCAAAATGCGGCGGGGATTGATCGTAAGAAGTCGATGGGTGAAAAAATGATTCGACCCAGGTTCGAACTGAGGACCGCCTGTGAACAGCGCAGAAGACTTGCGAACTGTTAGACAGAAGTGATAACCAACTACACCATCGAACCGATATGTGACCTGTGACGGATAACATTTATGATGTTCTGTGTTAGGTTTTGCGATGCTCGGACCATCATAAGTGACCAATCGTTTCGTGACCAGAATGATAACTCCAGAGTATCTGGTTTCTACCTTCATGTTCTACACGGACTCCGCTGCGCCGTGTCAAGTCTGTTTGGAATTCTTCTCTGCGTTCAATCGTTGTGCTACGTTTATCCTTCATTCTGTTCTAAGTGACGGTAAAGCTCGGCCAACTACGATTGGGGATCTGCGCGCATCTTTCACCTGCCAATTGCACAAGGAAGGATCGATACCTCCATGCACTCTCGGCATCGGACGCATGAGAAACCGTAACGCATCAAGTTCTGACACGTTGTGCGCTTGCGTCTCGTCAATGTGTGCCTCGGGCTTAGAAGCCAGCCGCTTCTGTCTGACGATCACCATGCACTCCGACTGTGGATCCCACCACATGCACAGTGAAAAATTGTTCTTCGCTCAGGGATCGACTGGTATTGGAGGCCCTTGGCTCCGATGTGCGGCTAGTCAGGACCAATGTCCCTCTCATTGTTCATCAGCCACTACCACCATAAGACTTGACACCTCGTTTCGGACAGCCCATATCACGTCTCTCCACACCTGAAGTCACCACGATGGTTGATGTGAGCGTGTACAACTCGACTTATCTTTGACTAATGGGCCGTTTCATGGAACCTTGCATGATTTATCCAGAATCTTTTTCCCTTTCCCGCACCATGTGTTTCCCGCAGGTATCGGCTTCGCGTTTCTGAGATGGATGCCACGGTGTCTATGCATATCAAGAGTGAGAGGCGGTGATAGTGACAGCGGTCCGTCGAGTATGGAGGATCGGCCATTGTCAAACGTTCATTGACAGACCCCGCTCCTGAGGGGAATCGGGTGCACTGTGTTACTGTAACAAGTTGTGGGTCGCACTGCAAGTCTGTGACCCAGCAGTGGTCACTCATGCTGCTCTTCATACTTTGTCTCAGAACCACGTATCTCGAGCACGAAACACGTCAAGCAGATGACACCGTTTCAGGCCGCCCGTGAAGCATATGGATCGCTCTGGCTGTCCGCATCATTGGAGGTCAAGATCACACAGTTTTAATCAGTTTGACCCACCAGTATGGTGATCAGTTGCTATTGCCATGGCAAGCTATGAGGAGGCCTTGGGATTGCCTTAGAAACGGACTAGTTACCGGCCTGAAGTAGTCCGTATTCCTAGACATGTACAGCTTACTGTTCTTTGCCAGAGCCTTGTTGTTCCAGAAACCAGCCGGCGTCTTGTTCCTAACTTTTGTTCTTTTCTGTTACATATACCCTGATTGACCGCGACCCGGCTCTTTGTTTACTTCTTCCACCTCCTCCACCCACCATGCCTGAACCCGCCGCTGCTCCCGCCGCTGCAGCCGAGTCCGCAGCCGCCCGCAAGTCGTCCGCCCCCGCCCCCAGGAAAGTTCGCTTCAATGTCGGTACACAGTATCAGGTCCTCGACGTCGTGGGCGAGGGCGCCTACGGGATTGTCTGCTCCGCAGTCCACCGACCCAGCGGCCGCAAGGTTGCGATCAAGAAGATCGCACCATTCGAGCACTCGATGTTTTGTCTGCGAACGCTTCGTGAGCTCAAGCTCCTCAAATTCCTCTCTGAAGCCGGAGTGAGCGAGAATGTGTGTACCACCTTTCATGGCTTCTTTTCTCCTCCAGCACTAACGTTAACGTTCGATCCTAGATCATCTCCATTCTCGATATCATCAAGCCACCGTCGATAGAAGCGTTCAAGGAGGTTTATCGTACGTGGGCCACGTCGTGCCCGATATGCGATGTGCTTATCCTCGTCTCTCCTCACAGTCATCCAAGAGTTGATGGAGACAGACATGCATCGTGTCATTCGCACCCAAGATCTCTCTGACGACCACGCGCAATACTTCATTTACCAAACTCTTCGTGCGCTCAAAGCCCTTCATTCTGCCGATGTCATCCACCGTGACCTCAAACCCTCCAACCTTTTACTGAACGCGAACTGCGACCTCAAGGTCTGCGATTTCGGACTTGCGCGGTCGGTCAAGACAGCCGAGCCGTCGGGCACTGAGACGGGTTTCATGACGGAATATGTGGCCACACGGTGGTACCGGGCTCCCGAAATTATGCTGACGTTCAAGCAGTACACCAAAGTGCGCTTTTTCTCTTATGTCTGCTTCGAGACTGTCCTGATCAGGAACAACAAGGCGATCGATGTATGGTCGGTCGGATGTATTCTCGCTGAGATGTTATCCGGAAAGCCGCTTTTCCCGGGGCGCGATTACCACCACCAGCTCACGCTCATTCTGGACGTGCTTGGCACACCAACACTGGACGAATTCTACGCCATCACCACTCGCCGCTCGCGAGACTATATTCGGGCGCTACCGTTCCGGAAGCGACGGCCGTTTGCCCAGCTGTTCCCGAATGCTAATCCTCTGGCCGTCGATTTTTTGACTAAAACCCTGGTGCGTGGTGCTTCAACACACCGACTTTGGCTCGTCTTCATGCTCAACACTGTCAGACGTTCGACCCGAAGAAGCGCATCACCGTTGAGGATGCATTGGCACACCCCTATCTCGAGGCCTACGTGCGTTGTTTCTATTCGCTTGAATCGTTGCCTATCCTTACCGGAACGCTTTGGGATAGCATGACCCTGATGATGAACCTGTTGCCCCTCCGCTGGACCCAGAGTTCTTTGAGTTTGACTGTGCGTTTGGCTGATTGATTGATGCGGCGCAGATGTCTGACATATTGTACAGTGCACAAGGACGACATCAGCAGAGAACAGCTGAAAGAGTTGTTATACGAGGAGATCATGTCGTTCAATCCACCTCCCATGACATAGACGCAGTCGCCTGTCATGGTCGATATCTGCGGTTCGGCATACTTTCCAGCATGCTGTGTCTTGACGACTGATCTAGTCAATACTAGCATGCAGGATTCATAAGATTGTTGGTTTCCTGGGCGTCATCTCCTTTTCTCTATCTCTCCACCCAACCTTACTCTCCGCATCAGATTGTGTCCGTGACGGTCGCTATCTGTTACTAGCTCTCCTCTGTACATTTATCATACAAACCTCTCAAACACCTCATCAATCTACGAAATCATGAAGTGCAGTTCGAAGGACACACGTCAGTCGGAAAGTTTACGTGCTGGGACTGTTTGTTCGGTGACTTGACTCGAACTGGCCATTTCACCAAAGACACATGTAGCGTGGCTGTGCTACTTAGCAAACGCGCTGTGACACGTCACTGAGCCAGCGCATCGCGCCTTGTCTCTGGCAGTCAAAGGAATCGCAGAAACGCTCCTTTATTCCTTCTCCATAGTGAGCCACCCAGCTAATACGGGTTTTGCTTTCTCTTAACATCATCACCCGTCAGCTATGGAACAACAAGCAAAGGCGCCGGCGGACATTCGCAAAGTCGCGACATTCCTGCGTAGCGGCAAGGCGGGAATCAAAGTGCGCGTTGGCGCGCTGAACGGGAAGCGATTCGATTATTTCAAGGGTGAGTTGTCGCTGCCCTTCCCTGACAGCATGTACGAGGGCTGATATTATCTTACCCTTCGCAGGCAAATCTGCCATCAAGGCCCTGCTCTCGCCCGCGTATGCAAAGCAAAAAGGCGTCCCGAAAGTCTCTTCGGAGGCCGAAGCCGTTGCTCTACTTGCGTCTGTGAATAGCTTCGCGTTCTTCCTGCGTGTGCAGCGCGGCGCCCCGTCGGGCAGCTCATCATCATCACCCAAAGTCTTGCAAGTGATTCCGGAGCAGATGTTCGTTGGGGACGAGTACTATGTTTGGTTCTTCGAGGGCTCTCAGTGGACGACCTACGCAGGCGCGGTGCTCATGGTCGGTCTGATGCTTGGGGGCGTGATGTTCCCGTTGTGGCCCCCGTTCATGCGGCTCGGCGTGTACTATCTGAGTATGGGCATGCTCGGGCTGTTGGGACTTTTCTTCGCCATCGCGATTGTGCGCCTCATCTTCTACATCATCACTGTGGTTGTCGCCAGCCCTGGCATATGGATCTTCCCAAAGTTGTTTGCGGATGTCGGCTTCGTACGTGTTGTAGTTTTCAAATCGAAGCTTATACTGACTGTTGCAGGTCGAGTCATTCATTCCGCTATGGGAGTGGGATCTGCCGAAGAAGAAGTCGAAAAAGAGAAAGGGCGATAAAGCCGCTGGACCTGTTGAGGGCGCATTCATTGAAGAGATTCCAGACGATTCCAGTGCGTCGCGTCCCGACAGTCGAGCTGCGAGAGTAGAGGAAGTCGAGGACGACGACGCTTAGACCCGGAGTACATACTTATTATTTTACACACGGCCACACCGCCAGCACATGTTGTGTCCATTATTTTCTTCTGGGTCTTTCATGTAAGCACTGCAGTCAAACACGCACTCGCTCTGGGCCTGATCGACCATCGCTGACAAACGCGTCAGACGCGTGTTTGTGCCTCTTCCCGAATCGCCTTGTTCAACTCTATTGCCTGTTCACACACCCCTGCCCCATCGACAACTATGCGAGCTTGAGAATATCTCGATCTGAGTTTCCTGTTCTGTTTTGTTCATCCATGCATCCGTGATCGAAATGACGGTCGCCAGAGAACGACTGATACGCCCGACCTTTGTCAGGGTGCGCGCATACATAGTGCATACCTCACTTTCCATTGAGGGCTGCATCCGGCAACAATGCCTACCTTCCCTCGAGTTCTTCCTGCCCTTATCTTCCTGTCCATTTCTTCCCTCATCGAGGCCTCGTTCATCGTAGACTCGATGTGCGTCTTCTAAGACTCACCGAATGGTGTGGTGTGGCTCATTCCGAACTCTGCAGCTCGCAGACACCCTTGACGTGCGTGCCATTGCTGTTACAATGGCAGGGCGGATTAGGTACGTATGGTTGCGACACTGCTCCCTTGTTTCCACTATCAGTTCAGGCCCGTGGAATTTCGTGCGCATGACTGCATCCCCCTCACGGTGTATACGCACTGACCTGATCTACAGCGGTGAGTAGTCGAGAATGCCTGGGAGATGTCTGCTGACTTGCTGCGTTGATCCAGTGTGAGATCATCTGGAGGTCTTCTACAAATCCTGGGCTCGTTCTCGTTCTAGTGGACGGCGAATTTCCCCGCTGGTGAGTGTCCGGACTCAAAGAGAGCGGCAAATGGCTGATCTACATGTGCGAATGAATCACAGGCGTGCAAATGACAGCCGAAGTCGCAGATTCGACCGGGCAGACCGCCGTCTTGGATGCGGTGATAGTTCAGACTGGACGTGCGGCTGTTCTCGACTGAAATAAAGCGAAGACCTGGCAACACTACAGAGACCGACTGCCTGGCTACTGTATCCGACTCGTCAGTGTCGCATACTATCATGATGGTTTCGCAGTTGACATCAGAGAGAAAGCTTTGTTGTGGTGATATCAACTGCAGCCGGAGTTTCACTTAGAATCACTTCTGTCAAAGTCGCGCTATTGGCCTAGCTATCGTCTTCAACATCCTCGCCCTCGCCCTCTTTCTCCACCTCTTCCTCCTCGCACATTGGGGCCAGCGTAACAGCGTAACTGCATTACCTCGTTCGAGCTCAGCCACCTCCGTTGCGACTGCAGCATCCTTGCAAACTCTACACTTAGGTTCCATCACAGAAGAATCCTCGGGATCTACGTCAAGATCATTGAACCCAATATCACAATTCTCTGGTTCAACATCAAACTCCTCGATGCCCCCAACAGCCACATCGATCCTGCCGAGGTGAGTGTTGTCAATCTCTGTTGATGGTGGTCTGCGGAATTAAAGCGCAGTTTACAGGTCTTCGACGGCTAGCTCTAGGTGCTTATTCTGCAAGCTATTGTAAGCGTATGCACTCGAAAATCAAGCAGTGCGACAGTCTTTGTTAAACAGCCGGCTGCCCAGAGGCGGAAGCCATTACCCACCATTTTGGCCATCGTGATTTCAACTTGGGGCTTGCTGTGTTTGGGAGCATCCTACTTTCCTTACCGACGTTACCGACTAACATGTGCTCGATTCACGCCTTACATACTCTCTGACCCTGTGTCTGGTCTTGTTCCTTCTTCACACCTCGATTCGCAAATTGTCCTCGTCTCCGCGACGTTCGAATTGGAGCAGCAGAAACTCCTTCGTCAGTCTTCCCCCTCCCCGCTTGAAGACTATACTTGGATCAAACGGAACGATGCGAGAGCCGCCCCCCGCATTCCAATCGCGTCAAGAATCTTACGAAAATGTGGTCTGGAATATCGATGCATCGATTCCGTAGACCGCATCCGTCTGTCCACTAGCTTATTCTCGAGATTAACGCAGGCCAAGGAGCGATTGGTGCAAATACTTGCAATGTCCAGTCCGATGTATTTTCGTTTGATGCATGTGCTGCAGTTATATCATTCCGGTGTACAGCAAATTGCAGTTGAGCGAACCGAGGGACTAGACCGGTCCCTAGTTGCTGCGTGCTTGCGGTGGCGCTCCCGTGTTCTAGATAACACGACGCGCCTATCGGGTGGATGTTATCTCAGACCCGTAGTTGGTGTCCGTGCTGTGTCCGGAACGAAAAAAGCACTGCTTCGCTGGAGAATGGAGACACGATAGCGCCCAGTGCTGCAAGCGATCGGGACGGCATTGATTTCGGAGCGAAGTTGAGACCTTTCCCCCACGTTCCCTCCTCGTGTTTCCTCGTCAAGCGCTGCCAACATGCCTTGTCCGCCCGAGGCGGATTCATGCGGTCACGATCAAACAAGCTCTTCCCTCGAGCAATCCGGGCTGGGTTGCACACGCGTCCGGCCTGGGAATCCAGTCCAGCAGCGGCCAATTGGAGGGAGTGATGGTCCATCATGGAGGCTGCTGTGGGGTTCCAGACCGATATACAAGACGAGATCTACCCGCTCTCTCTCTGTTCGGGGTGCCCCGCATGACATGCAGTCTCAGGGCGGTCTCTTTCGTCCGGTCTCGCGTGTGAGATCGCGAGCACACCGTTAAACTACCGTCCGCTGGTGATGCCAATCCCTTGTTGTCTTCCCGATCACTGGAACACCATCAGCTCTGGGGCCTCCATCGGTGATGTGTAGCTGGATATATGCCGGTGGGACAAACACACGCAATTATCTGGATACGCCCTCGCTTATTCCAAGTGAATGATTGACTGACTGCAGCTGATTCAATAAAGAGATCACCGATTCCTGCGAATGCTTGGTTCACTCAGAGCCCAAGGCGAATCAGTTCTGAACCCTGGATCGATGACCCGGACTGCGGATGATGCACACAAGGCTAGCTTTGAGAGCCACACGGCGAAGATAACTGTACTGACATGTGGTGCTTGCTGGTGGTCAGCCTGATGGGCACTGCGCGCTGCTTTCGCTGGTTTTTTGTCCGCGAGATCCGCAACATTTGGGGGATGAAACATGAGAAGCCGCGGACGTGTCCTAGTATCAGAATCGGCAGATACTGGCTGTTCTCATCTGAGAAGTCGGATTGACTGATCCTAACGTACACACACGGTCGTTTATCCTAACATTACTGAAGTCCCGCTCCCCATCCCCAAGAGTAGGGGGACAAGAACTGCTGCTCGTCTTCCTGCTTCACAGTGATAGAAAGCGCATTCGACGAGAAGGCATCGTGTCCGAATGGGCCAGCTTCTGGGAGATGGTTGTAGACGAAGCCCGGCTCCACTGGATAGACGTAGCTCGGAACGGGCCATGCGTTAGGTGACGGTGGCGGCCAGGTTGGAGACGGCAGCAAGGTGTGGTGGGGCAGGTAGGGACTGCACTCGGAGGTATCAGATCCCCCATACTCGGAGAGATCGGCGCTGCCGGCGGTGGGGGACGCGGAGAGAGAGTCCTTCTCGTCCTCGGAGACTGCACGGTACTCGCAGAACAGCCCCTTCTGCACACAGCGCCTGCACGGCTCTTGCGTCACGTCGTTTGTGAGGCACTGAATCCCTAGGCCGTCAGTCCCGTCCCGACTCGCGAGTAAAAGCACACATACCCGGATCTTCCGCCGCCGACAGTGACTGCATGCTACGAAAGCGCGGCTTGGCTTCGCGCAGTGGGCACCGTGGGCGCGGCGACGGTCGGTGCTTTTGGAGGCTGGAGGCATCGTCGATGGGTTGGATTGGAGGGCATGGGGCGAGTTGAGACTCAACTTTATATGACGCACATCCTTGTCTTCTCCATGCTACTCGTACAGGCACAGTCGATAGATTTAGCACAGCAGATTCGATCTCCATACCAGGATACGGTGGGACAGATCCGACACCCAGCGCTGTGAGAAAAGTAGAAATGCCGGCTGCTATCCTGCATCGTTCATATATGGTTAGAAAAAACGGCGGAAATACTATTGACGGGATAGATGACTTTCAATAGCGTCTGGTGCCTCGCTGCTTGAGTCATGGTTGAGAGGAAAGCTCGAAAATATTGTTCTTTCCCGAGTCGTTAACGCGGGCAGGAACAGAACCGATGACACTTATTGATCTTCTCGCTGGACTTCGATGTTTTCTTGCCGATCAGGAAGCCGTCACGCCTGTCTGCAGTTGGGAGACGACAAAGAGACCGGAATCATGATGAATGCGAGCCTGCGGCGATGCTGTATCCATCGATTTCCCTTGTGAACCGGTTTGGGACCTCAGTGTGAGTGTAACGCGCCAAGTTGGTGTCTCAGATCGCCGTCATGTGACCGCGTCAAAATAGACGGGTAGACCGGCGGGCACGGACCTCGGGGCGCAAAGCAGAATCGTGAGCACCTCTTCAGGGCTCTGAGTGCCAGCGACAAGAATCGACGGTTGATATGGTCACAGCAAGAGATGAAAAGCGCACGTCGGGGCGACCTCGGTTGAGTTTTCAAGTGGCGCTCAGACGGGAGTGGGCAGTACCGGACGGCGGACGGGAAGCTTCGCACTCGGTATGCTAGCAGCTACTCCAGCAATTTCTTGACAGGTGAATTTCATTTTCCGAGCTTGGCGGCGGTTTATCTTGGATGCGCGTGATCACCAGCTGCGGGGCTGCTTCATAAAAGATCAATTTCTGGAGCGGTAGGCCTGCGGAATACTCGCATATCCCTGCAATTGCATCGTGATTAAGTGTGTTATTTAGAGACGACAAACGGCGCAGGTTCGGGAAGACTGACGACCACCAGGCTATGATTACTTACAAGTCACCGCCTGATCCGAAGTGCTCATTTCATTGACACCGAAATTGGAAGGAGCTGGCCGGGATTTAATCGGATCTGACCCAGGATTGAGGTGAATGCATGAGTGCAGAGCATGTGGTAGCAGAGACAAGGCTCAGACGAGTACAAGCCAGCCCAACGGGGCCTGACTCGGAGATTCCAACGTTCATCGTCGGATTCGGGATGTCCCGGCGGTTGACCGTCGGGACAATTTCTGGCAGCAGCTGATAACCCCTCACGTCATATGCGACGATCGGCCGATCAATGCCGTCGGCCTAAGGGCACAGGGTTCTTCTTGGCCTAGATTGAAAAACGCACATATAGCCCGTCCGTTACCATCCTTCTCGCTCCTGTCCTCCATTATCCAGCACGCTCACCAACCGGAATCCATCCATTGAAGCGATCTGATAGGTGAATATTTGATGTCTGCGATGATGTAGAGATTTGTTTGCCTGCCTCATGCTCTCGGGAATGAGTGTCGTGCGAAGACGGTCTCTTCACCAGCCATCTCTTCATTCCATCGTCCAATTACTGATCATTTTCATAGTTCTTTCTTCGTCTCGTCTCGTCTCGTCTCACATACACATAACCTACCCCCGCGAGCATCGCTGAAGATGTTCGCCCTCTGCTAAACGTATCTCGTACTCGAGAATTGAAGGACCCACACCGTCTTTCGCGCCTTCGGCCCCCCAAACCCCTATCATGTCCCGCTAAAAGCCCCTTGAATTGTCTTCGGACTACCTTCCCTCGTCGCCATGTCGCCCACTGAACTGATCTCTTCGCTGTCTCAATCACCTGCTTTAACCAACTTTTACACTACAACTGAAACCCCTGCAATCCGATCAGAAAATGAACACGCTGCTAGATCTTCAAGAGACCAGCCCTGCTCTGGCCGAGGTCGGGAAGGGGCTGCGTATTGAGGACCTCCTGTGTACGCTGCATCGACACGCCTGCTCCTCCGTATCTGATCCCCCTTTCAGCCTCCCCTGACACCTTTTCTCTTCCCGATCTCTCTTTCTCGCCATCGCCACTTCTGTCAGACACCTCCACACCGTTTCTGACCTCTCCGCTCTCTCCGCCCCCCGATGAATTCATCTCCAGCGGCAGCCCGTATACCGATTTTCTAACTTCACCGGTCGTGGCCGACGTCGGGTTTGGGGATGACATGGAGCTTTTCGGGGGTTTATCGGCATACCCTACTTACGAGGTGTCCGTCCCCGTTGCTGCTTCCGTCGCCGAAGCTGCACCGCCGCCCTCACCCCCACCAAAACACACGCGCAAGCGCGTCGCAACAGGGACCCGCAAGAACCTGCAGGTGTCGACACTAATCCCGATCGAGGCGCCAACGCAAAAACGCAGTTACGTGACGCCAAGTGCGACGTCGCGCAAGGCCGTGCCGGCTGCGTTCGCGAAGAAAAGAGCACACTCTGATGCATTCGGGGACGAGGAGCTGGTGGCGATTCCTGGCGAGCAGGATGCGATCGAACACAAGCGCAGACAAAACACGCTTGCGGCCCGCAAGAGCCGGAAGCGCAAGCTGGAGCATCAACAGTTACTCGAGGACACCATTGCTGGGCTCAAGCAAGAAGCCGAGCGGTGGAGAGAGAGAGCGATTGAGGCGCGAGTGCTGCTAGAGGAGAACGGCATCGTATGTGATGAGTGGCAGGATTAATTTTCTTTGTTCAGGCTCCAACGCCTTTCTTTCGTGTAATATCACCTATCGTTATTCCTCTAACGTTGCAATCTATGCTCTTTCTCACGCTCGTACTTCTTAGTTCCGAATCTAGCGGTCTTTACTGCACCTACTTAGTTTGAAGATGCTTCCGCGGTGGAGACGCGCTTTGGGGCCAGAATAGAACCACACTGGGAACAATCTAGCGCGTCCGTCGTCTAGTAATATAAGCTGGCGTCGGACGCCGGTTGCATCTGTTGGCACCATGGCTGGCCTCGAGTCTCCCTCCTTCAACGCTACTATTGGTTGCGCCTGCGCACATTGCTCCGGTCGAGAACTGATTATGTTCTATAGGCGCATATGAGATCGGAGTCCTCGTGTCCTACACACTCTTCGGGCTCACGACACTGCAGACGTATTTCTACTATCGAACGTATATGCGCGATGGCCCGGGCGTCAAGCTAATGGTCAGTCATCTTATCTGTCGAAGGGATATGTCGCTCACACTCACAGGTTGCGGTCATCTGGTTTGTGGCAAGCGTCGTCTGAAGGCGCGCGTCTGAGTGCCCTTACAGGACGTGCGAGGTCGTACACGCTGCCTGCATCGCGCACAGTCTGTACTCGATCACAGTCTCCAACTTTACGCACCCCGAGCGACTGGTGCTGATCCCCCGGACGCTCGCGGTTGCAGTCTTGTTCTCGGGGTTCATTGGCGCACTCGGTCTGCTCTCAGATCTCGCTGCACGTATGTAACAGGGGTTAATTTGATTCCCCCAGTGCAAGCGTTCTTCGCCCACCGTATCCGCACTCTATCTCACTCGCTCCCGCTGCCGGCTCTGAGCCTCTTTCTCTCGTTCTTGCGGCTGCTGGGATCCGCGCTGGTGTGCGTGTACGGCTTCAAAACTCTGACCATCCCAGAGTTCGAGACTCGCTTCGGTTGGCTGCTGACCGCGCTCTGGGCCATCACGTCCGCGAATGATGTGCTCATTGCTGGCACGATCACGTGGTGTCTACGGAGAGGACGGGCCGGGCTCGATGCCAGGTAGGTGGTTGTAAAATCAAGTCAAGACTGATAAATTCAGGGAAAAAGGACTGTGCCGCTGATAGATAAACTCGTTATGTGGACCATGGGTGCGTGATCTATTAGCATGGTCCGTGTATGAGCGCTGACCGCGCTTAGAAACGGGGCTTTTGACCAGGTGTGCTTCTCAATCAGTATCGCTACGCTCTGAAATGCTGATTTTCTCAGTGCAGCAGGCTTGGTCAACCTCATCTGTGTGAGCAAACTTGCCAGATCTGACATTGGCATTGACTTCTCCTTGTCCAGTTCGTAACCATGAAAGAAAACTGTACGTCGAAAGCCCCCCTGAATCATCATGTCTAATTGGCAGCAACTGAAGTCATATGGCTGGCATGCTATGTTGTTGCCGCGCGCCGTGAGTGAGCTTATTTCCCACAGCTGTGCGTTGGTCATCCAACGAGATCTAGTCTATTCAAACTCGCTGCTGGCCAGCCTCAACTCGCGGGTAGCACTGCACTCGGCATCTCAAAAGATCCAAAATGCCGAGTTTGGGAGCATGCCCACCTCCACGGTACGTACCCACGTCCGGCATCCTGCTCCCGTAACCACACATCTGTTGCAGTTTCAGGCGGTTCATTTCAAAAGTGTCCCGGCGGTCGGCAGTGCTGTCACTACTGCTTCAGGAATTGGTGATCTTGATGAGCGACAGAGGACTTGAATACCAGTCATGTATCTTGAGATGTATGGTGCATGTGCCCTTAACACTACCACTTTTGTACAAGGGTCACAGTGTGTCACAGAAGCGTCTGTTTTCTTATCTGTCTTACAGAAACACTCAGTTTGAGGTGTAGAACAAATCTGTAAGAGGGATAATTAATTGCTTCAAAACTGAGGGAGTTGATGTTTTGATTGACACCCCGATTCCGGTTCTGTCACGTTATGTCACGAAATGTGACTAGAAGTCACGCCAAAGTCACCACTTTTGCTGACAAATATGACCTCTTTCAGGCTTCTATGCATAAAATGTGTCTTTCCACTTGATCTGCACTCAATCTGAACCATTTCTGATGCTTTCCCGACCATTTTATTTTTGCAAATTTTCTGACCAGATTCCGGTCCTGTCACAAAGTGGCAGTGACGAGGGCACGTGCACCATAGGTGATCGAGAGACAATGTTCTATCAGCACCATTCGAGATTATTTTTACGTACATTTCGAACATCGGTTCGATGGTGTAGTTGGTTATCACTTCTGTCTAACAGTCAGCAGCTTATCTGCTCTGTTCACAGGCGGTCCTCAGTTCGAACCTGGGTCGAATCATCTTTTGTTCTTGCAATTGCCCATCCCTTGCAGCACGGCTCGAACCCATCATCGGCCCTGATCCTTTACATTTTTGATATTTCCACTGAGCAGGTGAATGGTCGTCACTATTACGAGGTCGGCATTATAACAAGCTCCTTCTATGATTACGCAGCAACTGTACGCCCTGGTAAAGGCTCGAGCCGGGCCCTGAACCTCCACCGTGATCCCTCGAGGTACATGGGGTTGTCGAGCACCAAATATTCAGTAACCCTTTTTGGAATGGCAGGGACTATCGTCAACGACCTGCCGGGCTCAGGTGCCATGGGCTCGGCGCCGACGGCCGGCTCATGCAGCGGGGTCCCCTTGCGATCATATATCTCCACACTCTGCTCTGTGTCAAAGCGCACGAGTGCTTGCACACCGACACGCGTTCCAGTCTTCGGGGCCTCCTTGCCGAAATGACCATCGCTGGCCCGCAAGGACAGGATTCGCGTGGGCGAGACCTCACGGTGGAACCGCCAGATGTAGAGGTGCTGTGGGTCGCGCTGCTGAGTGAGAGAAAGGGCTTCGTCGAGGTATGATTCCATTGCCAACTCTTCCAGTCGCGAGGATTTACTAGAAGATGTAAATGAGCGAGAGAACGGCACTAGGAGGAGAATATGACGAACTGCATCAGGGCCTTGTTCAGCTTGATGTAGCAGTCCAAAAACTCTTGTCGCATCGGTGCAACCCATGCGTTCGACTTGACGGACCGCGCGCGAAGGCTATGCTTCACAAAGGTGAACCAAGACTTGTACCAGCTCATGTGAGGATCGATTGACACGCCGGGGAATGAATCAGCTAGACCAATGTGTCGCATACTAACACAAATTATTAGCTGATTCCGAACAGAGGGAGGAACCAGACTTGCGAAAAGGCGTTCTTCCCGTCATTCAACCTGTTCAACATGAACTGGTCGTACATGTCGCGCCATGTCGGGTATTCAGAATAGGTCTTGAAGTTCACAGCGTAGGGCAGCATGTGGTCTTGTGAAGCGATTGAGATCAGGAAAGTTCAAGAACATCTGGGAACAACAAACCTAGCAAGGGAAGGGTAATGTCGGGAACTGCTCGCCCTTGTTCCTTCAAAAGCTTGCGCTCCCGCAGAATCCGTTCCACGTGTGCAACCTGCACCTCTTCCTCCGTCATTCCCGTCTCATCTATAGGCGGATTATCCCGTGTTTGTGTCTTTTGCCAGTTCTTGTGAGCTGCCAGAATTAATCTCGTCTTGAGGTCTGCATCTGGTGCAGGGGGTGCCAGCCGGCTCGAAGAAGGCTTCAGAAGAGAGAGCGCCGGCTTTTTGCTCTTTTTCTTTGGGGTTACCGAGGTCTTAGTAGCATAGCAGCGGATGGACACCGGGACGACACGCCGGCGAGAGAGAGAGAGCATCAAAAGTTTACACCTGTTGATTCCATCTTGAGTTCCCGCTCATCTCTTTTCTTCCTCCATCATGCCTGTAAGCCGAAGCTTTCGCGTTCTCCCGAATTCAATCTCAACCGCACTCATTCCAGCGTCAATCCCGTGGTCGTTCATCCTCCTCTGCGCGCGCTGCTCCGGCACCCGCCCCGGCGCAGACCCGTAGCGCGCATACCGCTGCTGCCCCGGCTGGATACGGCAACGCGGCGCATGCCCCGGCACCTCCGGCTGCGGCTGCTGCTCACGCTCCCACCGCCGCTGCCCCATCCCAGGGGCCTGGCATGCTTGCCCAGATGGCTGCTACCGCCGGTTCCGTTGCCGTTGGAAGCACCATCGGACACGGTCTTTCGAGCATGCTTTTCGGTGGCGGAGGACAGGCTCAGTCGACCGAGGCTCAGGCACCTCCTGCTCAGCAGCAGCAGCAGACCAGCATGAGCTGCGAGCAGCCCGCAAAGGGTGTGCAATCTCCCGAGTTCCAGCTTCCGATCACTCACAATCCTCCGCTGTGCCAGATTTCACCATGTGCCTCGAGAAGGCCGACATGCAGTCCTGCTCGTACTATCTCGAGCAGCTCAAGGCCGTGCGTTACTGTCCGCTGCGTTCACAACAACTTATTCACTCTGCTCTCAGTGTCAGGCTGCCGCCCGCCCTTACTAGATCTTTTTGTTGGCATGTTATTGGGGTGAAATAAAAATGAATCTGCTCGACAGTGCATTGGATGAGAATTGAGGAAACGTGGTTCTGCGACGCGTCAATTCGGCGTGACCTAGTAAGCCACATTACTAATGTCTACGTCCCCGTTTCACGGGCTCTTGCTCATCCGGAACACCAAAAGCGGCAAAGGAAGCCACAGTTTCGGTGTATTGAGAGGGCGGGGTGAAGCACAATGCTTCATGAAGGACGGGACTGGATATACACGGTGGACTCCGAGGCAGTACGCTGCGATACTGCTCTTCAATAGTCGGCTTCCGTGAGAGACGTCCATCGGCAGATTGCCCTTTGCGCTTCCGCCCTCGGCTGCGGGACGGCCCATCCGGGCTCGCAGCCCGCCGGAGCGGTTGCGTGTACTTGACTGGACTTGGCATTGGCTTTTCGGGACTGCGGCTGCGGGCAACGCGTCGCGGCACACGGGTGTACTTATCTTCCTCTACACTGGGCCACGCGAAATTCTGTTCCTTGAATGGGGTCGGCGCGGGTGACTCGGACAGAATGCGGAACCCCATGGCCGTACTAACAGTGGATGCAGCACGAGAAAGCGAAGCAGTCGCCATGGACGTCGCTCGAGAGAGAGAGACTTGGTTGTCGGGGATGCGTATGTCGGAATCATGTCGACCGTGAGACTGCCAGGCACGGCGTTTGACGCGATCCTTCGAACCAGAGCCAGCACGTTCGCTATCTTCATCACGCAGACGCTCTAGGATGCCTCGTTTGATGCTTTTGTGCCGCAGAGTTTCCCAAGGAGCTTCATCGCCGCTGTCTGGCCGATCGAAAAAGATAGAAGTTCGCCCAGAAGGCGTGGGTGACGGAGAGCGATCACTGCGCATCGTTCGGCCCCGAGATGGAGCAGCAGTACTCGCCACGGACTTGACACGAAGAGGCCGAGTCTGTGCCGTTCCTGGGTGAAGAAATCCCGCGGACTCGGACTCCGGCTGATCCTCGTCTTCATCCTCGTCCTCGCCGCCTACTCTGTCGCCCTTTCCTCGCAGGTTACCGACAAACATCGCTGCGACGCCATCGTCCAGCTCCTCGACACGGTGTTTCTCGTTCCCGGCCCATTCGTCGTCTTCGTCTTCTCCGTGGTCCACTTTGGCCGCCAGACTCGGCGTCGGTGGTCTGTATTCCGGTCCAGCGATGAGATCACCGCGTTTGCGAAGACTTCGGCGGGCGATGCAACCATAAACTAGCCAAGCCGTGAGACCGCCGATGACAAGGCCACCCACCCCGCAAGCAGGAACAATATACAAGAGATTGGTGCTCGATACCATTTCGAGTTTGCGATGAGAGTTGGCAGGGATGCTTGTGTTTGACGGAGGCAGCGCACTGATAGAAACGACAGACTGACTAGATGAAGGCGGCGCGCTCGATGATGAGAATGGCGAGCTTGAGCTTGAGAGGGACGAGGAGCTGAGTGCGGAGGAGGCAGAGATGCTACTAGCCGGGATGCTTGAGGTGCTTGAATCGAACGAGAAAGCGACCTCAGGCGTGTTTGTCGCCAAAGGTTCAACTATGAGGGTGTTGGTTGGCACAGGGGAATTTGTGGGAGAGTTCGTTTGAGTTTGAGTGGCGGGTGGATAGGGCCACCAGTAGTCGTAGCTTGAGGATGTCAAGGCCATAACTTGGCGAGCGTAGTATTCGTTGACGTGGTGTTGCCGAGGTCGTTTGTGCGACCCGGAGGGTTGTGAAGAGCGCGCCTCGGCCAGTTCTGCGGTCGAAAGCAACACAGCGATCGCCACAAAAGAGCTGAAACTTGAAGAGGGCATGTAGGACAGTTTAAAGAGCGGCGAAATAAAACGAGTGTGGGTGCGTTGGTGGTAGTAGCTGTTGGTTGTGATCAGTCCGCGAGCTAGGAGCTTCAGAAGCGGGGTTTCCTCGTGATGCCGTTGATGCCCAGCGCGTCTTTTTCGAAGACCACGACCATGGCCCACCATACCGTCCAGTACGTCGCATTCACTGCTTACGCCCTGACCTCATCTTTCTGCTAGTCCCTGGCTACGATGGGCCGTAGAACCTCGTCAGTCCGCCTCCTGCTCTAAATAACGCCAGCTGAACATTGCCAGTGGAATCGCTCAGACTGCTTTCCATACCCATAATCCTGTACTTCAACTGGGAGCTGTTAACGCCACGTCTGGCGGGTCTTTTTCAACCCTTCGTTCCTTCCCTGGCAGCATATGCACCAGACGGCCATCTTCCCAACCCATTCGCCCCCTTGTTCCTCCTCTCCCACAGGGTGCCCGAATCGAGCTCGGATGACCCGCGCTACGCCAAAGGCTGGTTCGACTTGCTGTTCCTCGCGTACTACATCGTTTTCTTCTCGTGCTTCCGGCAAACCTTCGCGGTGAAGATGGGTCGTGCGCTGGCCCGCTATTTCGGGATCAAAAAGCCTGCCAAAGTTGACCGGTACGGAGAGCAGTTTTATACCTGCGTGTACTTCCTCATTTCGGGTCTCTGGGGCGTGGTGAGTATATCGACGTTTAGTATGTCCTGTATACTGAAAACGATACCCAGCGCATCATGTCTCAGCTACCTACCTGGTGGTATGACACCAAGTACTTTTGGCTAGGTTCGCCCTCTCTTGACGCCTAAATCCGGTTCCATTCTCATTCGTTCCAGATTATCCCCACTGGGACATGAAGCCCGAGCTGAAGCGCTACTATCTCATGCAAATGGCACATTGGCTGCAGGAGCTCATGGTTCTGGTCCTGAAGCTGGAAAAGCCCCGTAAGGACTATGCGGAATTGGTCGCGCACCATCTTGTCACTCTCTGGCTCGTCGGGTCAGTTTGTCCCAACACGTATTCCGCTCAGGTTCACTCACCCCTATGCAGATGGAGTTACCTGATCAACTTGACGTTAATTGGCAATGCGGTGTATATCAGCATGGATCTCCCGGATACCATCTTTGCTGTAAGGCCTTGTTTGACTTTTCTGTCTCCCAAGCTGAATTATGGACAGTTCTCCAAAATGCTGAACTATATGCAATACGACCGAGCCAAAGTTGTGTCGTTTCTCTCGTTTGTATTCATCTGGTCGTACGTCTTTGAGAATCCCGAAGACGACAGCGAATTGACCTACTTCAGGTACTTCCGCCATTACCTGAACTTTGTGATCCTGTGGTCTGTCTGGTCCCAATACGATCTGATTCCGTAAGCCGTTCTTGGATCAGTGTCTTGCGTTTCATATCTGAACGGCGGCTCAGCGATTTTTCCAAGCAATGGATTTGGGCCGAGGGTGTTTATCTGAGTTGGTGGATGCAATATCAGGTCTTTGCTCCTCTGGTCTTGCTCCAGGCTCTAAACCTGTTCTGGTATTACTTGATTATGCGTGTTCTTTATCGGTGCGTTGGTTTATCTGCAGGTTGGATGTCCGCCTGACCATTATATTTCAGGACAATCGTGACGAATGTAACGGATGACGACCGCTCCGACGACGAGGGCGACGATGATGACCACAAAAAAGACGAATAGAAGCCATATTGTTTATATCTTTGCGAAGGCGACCTGTAGAGTCAATGTATCGTACCGCGTGGGCTTGTAGCTGCCCATTAATCATTTCCAACCGGGTCTCAGCTGACCAGACGCAGTACTTCTCCCTGCTCCAACCGCTTTCTGATCTTGCCCAAGTGATGAGGATTCTCGACGTTCAAGATGCATTCGTGTGAGAGCTTTGTGTGGCCGAAGATTCTCCGCCACCTTTTTAGCTGCTCAGCACTCCACACCCGCGAGTCATATCGGCCTGTCTTTCCATGCATCTCCTAGCTGCGGCCGCCGTTCTGCCTGCCTTGACCTGGGCAGCCAGCTTCACGCCAGAAGTGTCTCTGTTGACCGATCTTCCTCAATACCAGCCCCAAAATCTGTCCAAGTTGACCCTCGTGTCTGTGCTCAATAACATCAACAAAAAGCAGCTCAAGGGCTCTACGTTCTACTTCGGGAGCACACTCGCTGATCAGAGCGTGTCGCCCCAGAATGCCGCTTGGACCAGTGTCAGTGCCGGGCCGGCATCGTCTCGCCAAGCTCTGATGGGTATTCGAATGTTCGTAGGCCCGCTTCAAAGACACCTGGAATCTCGCAGTCGCAGAGAACGATTGCAAATGGTTCTCGAACGAACCGCAAGAGGGGGTCTTCAATTTGACTGCTTGTGAGGGCCTGCGCGACTATGCCTTCCAGCACGGAATCGCCTTTCGAGGGTGAGTCGGTTCCGGTATTCATTCCCCTGTGATCGACACGACTTGTCTAGCCATAACACGTACGAGGAGGCATCCGCACAGCGCGTGCTCGAGGTGACACCTGCCACAGGTTCTGGCACAATCAGAGACCCGATTGGCTTGTCAACAATACCTCGGCGTTTACCGTGGATCAGCTGAACGACACGATCATACCGACCGCGGTTCAGTCCGTCATTCACGGGCTTGGAGGCAAGCTCAAGTCCTGGGACGTCGTGAACGAAGCGCTGTGCGTCTGAATGACTGACCGGCTGTCGCCCCTTGCAGATCTTCGTTCATAGATCGGATGCTGCCGTCCCCGGGATGGATCTCGTCGACTGTGTCGTGAGTGCCGGCAGGTACGTCACGGTTGAGTTATGGCTGGAGATCGCATCCTATGCACGATGCAGATGGCCGAACTTTGCCGTCGACGGCGACAACACATCGGCTGTGCTCTTCCCCGACTACTCATTCGTGAACACTGCGTTCATCAACGCTGGCAAGGCTCGCCGGAAACTCGGTGCTGATATCCAGCTCTTCTACAACGATTACAACAGTGCGTCTTTTCGACGAACAAACCGAATTTAACTTTCATGGTAATAGTGTAATATACCTTCTCCCCTCGCCTTCGAAGACTGTGATCCACTGACTCTCCCAGCGGTGGAGACTTTCCGTCGCAAGCCAAAACCGAATGCGCCTTCAAACTGATATCGCAGCTGCAAGCCGCCAAAGCGCCCATCGACGGAATCGGCATCCAATCCCATTACAGCGCAAATCCACAGGCCTTCCCGTCAAAGGAATCGGCCCACTTTACTATGGACCGTCTCAAGGTTGGCTTGATGATCGTCGAAATTCAACGTGGTTCTCCTGCTGATGTTTCCTGGACGTAGAACATGGGCCTCACGGGCGCGATCACGGAAATGGACGTCTGGCTTCCTGACAACACGACCGAAAGCCTGCGGTGGCAGGCTTCCATCTTTGGAGACATTCTCGATTCTTGTCTCTACAGCTCAAACTGCAACGAGTTTCTTGTCTGGGACAATCGCGTTCATAACATCCAACTCATAGGAATCGACACCGGCTGACTTGAATCGACAGGACGACGAATCGTGGCTGAACGCTTTCAACACGGGTGTGGTACGCCAATGACGCGGTCTGCATCCTATCCTTCTCCTGAACTGGCTGCTGCAGCACATGGGAACTCTCTTCGACGCGGAGGGCAATCCCAAACTGCCGTACTTTGAAGGTACGCTGCCGTCTCGTGATCATTCTCTGCGTCTCGCCTAGTCAGCTTGTCTTCAGTGCTTGCCCGGCTGCTCAATTTCGCTGCCGGACACACCGAGCCGTGTGCCACGTCCAAAGGAACTGCGTTCTGCGTACTGTAATGGTAACGTCACACCCAATGCTAATTTCCTTCGCTCCATAATGAAATATATAGTTTTACAGTAAAAATGTGCTCAATAGTTCACCCCATTTACCTGGGAAGTCCTCGTCAGAAATGCAATAACAGACACACGTGGTTTACGGCACCTTGTCCTTGAGCTGGTTGATGAATTGTTGGTAGCTTGGAAGCACATCCGCGCGGTCTTGGATGAGCGAGCTAAGAGCCCACAGACGCAGAGGCGGCTCGCCATCTTCCTTGACGACGTACAGATGAGGGTAGAACACCCCACGCCGCATCTCACGCGTCTTCTGGATCACAGCATTCACCCGCTGCGAGAACGGGTTGTCTAACAGCGGCAGCGTCGTCTACGCAGCACGTCAGAGCCGGTCGCAACCCAGAGCACAATCCTCACCTTCCCACCCCGAAGACTGTCGTAATTCGGCAGATCAAATACATCCATGATCAATTGGGGCACGGCATCTCGTCCCACCCACAGGAAGATAACCTGCCCGTCCTCAATCAGGAAAAGACCATGCCGTTCTAATCTCTCCGAAGTCAAAGGCAGGGCCGGAGGCATAATCACACCCTGTTCGCCCACGGTGCCAGCCTCGGGCGGCATCGTGTGCAGAGAATAGAAGCAAGGATAAAGGTACGGAACCAGGAGCTGAGACGGCAGCGACGTGAGCAGCGATTGGGAGTAAGCCCTGATGTCCGGCGGGACTTGAGCACTTTGCCGGATGCCGACCTGTCATGCGATTGGTTTAGCATACGCTCGTAGGCACACCTCATTTTTATCTGACTCACATTTTTGAGCAAGCCGAGGACCAGCACCGGCAACATCTTGGTGTTCTCCGCAATCGCAAGCTGGGCACTGGCTCCAGCTCCAGCAGCCGTCATACTGCTCTTGTAAGCAATCAAGATGTCGACCAGTCTCTTGAAGATGTAGTCACGAGCATCCTCCAGCTTGTACGACAAAGAACGCTCCACTGCTTTGTTCGCCAACAAAGTCGCGACCGCGATCTGGTCCACGGAAGCGAACACCTCGGAAAGGTTGCTGGTCGTAGGGTAGGCAGTGGTCACCACACGCAGTCGTCTCTCGCCTTCATAGAACAAAAACAAAATGAGCACCGAAAGCATATGTGAAACAGACTATCCACGCACCAAAGCATGTTGTGTGGAGCATGCCAGTCTGGAGCACCACGAACGGAGTCGTCAACGTGTCCTCGATCTCCACCTCGATGGCATACGACTGGTTCTGAGGGACGGTCGGCATCGCCAACAGATCTGTCGATCGGACGAAAAAGTTGCCGTGGAACGATGCCATCCGAAGGCCCCTAGATGCACGGACACGGGTGATGCACTCCAGCATGATAGGCATGGCCACAACCTCTCCAAACTCGTGAGCGAACTTGATCGCGTCCTCCGATCGTGCGGCGTTGAAAGCCGGGTAATAGTAGGTGTTACCGGTCGTGTAATGCGGCAGATTGGCTGCAAGGGGCAATCGGAAACAGCAGAAACATCGCAATGCAAAACGCACCTAGTGTCGCAACGTCCTGGTATCCAGCACTGAACAGGAACATATCCACCGTGACCTGTGCTCTTGAGCAATCAATCGCAAACGTTTTGTAGAACGAGTTGGCGGCCTGCAGCAGTGACGACTCCTTGCTCGTTCCTAGGATTTTGGGATCTTCACGATTCTTCAGAGCTCCTTCGCCGACAGATGGAAGGCTGGAAGCGAGCGCCAAGATTTTACCGCCGATCGGAGCCTATGATGAGAGCGGTCAGAGATGGGCAACGAGCGTCGAAAACAAACGGGCACGCACCATAAGCTTCGAACCAGCTTGCAAAGCAGGGCCCAAAGCACTCCCGATGATGTTGTTGTCCTTGAACATGTCCCCAATGGTACCCAACAGAGCTTCCAATGCAGGGCGTGCCTCGGTCAGGTTCACCAAGAGGTCAGTTGGCTTAGGGAGGAAGACGTCATCAACATCCGACACAACCAACATGCTAGATTCTGTGCTGCCCGGCTGTTGAGATATAAGTAATTGTTCGGAAGGTTGAAGTGTCAACACGCACGACCATAGAGAAAAAGTAGAGAGACACGTCGTAGCAGATAATACCAATCTTCGTCATGTTCTCATCATTCGGGATTCGATCCAGGTTTTCCAGGAGAGCGCGAGTTGCCGTTGCCACCATTCCTGCGCAGAGGAGTGAGGGGAAGTCGTGAGATAAACCACACAAAACAAACCGGATTGAACCGCAGAGTGGCTGACGTCGATGAGGAATACGTACACCGCCGGCTGGGGTGCACGGACCATGTATTCCGTCGGCGCAACAAACTCCACGACTGAGTGGTTCAATTCAGCTCGTTGCCAACGATCACCAGGCTGCCCGCGAGCTTGATCCCAATCGAACGTCTGCGGGACCTCATTGGACATATTGCACATGCAGCAACGCCAGCGGTTGCCCCCATCGATGAACTGGACATATGGGTTGATATACATACGGCAGCGCCGGCACCGAGCAATGACATCAGAAACAAGGGGATGGCTTCATCGCCCTCGTCCAGTGTGCGGTAGGGAGTGATGACCAATGCGAGAGGGACCTTGGACTTTCCTAGTAACGAGGATGTCGTGGGGACCGCGTTCATGGTGAGGCGCTGGTACGAATAGTCGGCAACGGCAGTCGGGGCAGGCGACAGACTGGAGCCGGGCGGGAGACGAATCTCAGGGGGTGGTACGTGCAGGTCTCGTGGATCCGGAGGAGAGGTGAGGAGATTGACCGTGTTCAGTTGGAACTGCTTCTGTCCACCCATTCCCATCGAGCCAAATTGGTTGGTGAGGTTGTCCATCGGGCTCTTGCCAAAGGCAGGTGGCTGCTGTTGCCCGTAAGCAGGCTGCTGCTGCTGTCCATATCCCATAGGCTGTTGCGCGTATCCCGCACCCTGATCGGGCTGGAAATATTGGGGCTGGCCGGGGGCCTGTTGCTGCGACTGGAACTGTCCCTCCCCAGCAAGACCGGGTGTGAAGAGCTGCCCGCCGGCTTCCTGGCTGACAAAGTGCTCTCGTTGCTCGCGCCGCTGTAGTATCCGGCACCCGCGGTACTGAGCTGGTCGGTACTATAGTACGCCTGAGTCTGACCTGCAGCATACTGGCGTCGTTTTCCGTGTCCATGTGTCGCGGCAGTCGGCACGCTCGCTTCGGGAGGCCCTTGAGATTGAGGAGCACCAGTTGGCTCTTCCCATTGTGTATGGCCGGATGCCGTCTCTGGGTGAAAAGTAAAGTTCAAACGTGGTCAGAACGGAGATGACTGAAGATACAGACCGACGAAAAGGTATCGCTGGTTCGCTTCATTCCTACAAATTTATGAGCACAAAAGCGCGTCAAATGGAAGTCCCATTCACCATTCTGCGATCCAGCCAGGAGGGAGTTGTCCGGGTGAAGACATGGCCGTAGAATAAGTGTAATGATGAAGGGACACGCTGGCGTAATCCTAACACGTGCAAATAACACGTCTCTCGCATTAGCGCAGCCACACCAATCGAAGGAAACTGTCGTGGAACATAATATATCATGGGAAAGTATACAGTGATGCTAATGTAATGTTTGGCGAATGGACTTGATCATCGCTGAGATGTCGATAGGCACAGTATGGTGATCATGGGGAGGGGAGACAACGGGAAGATTGTCGGATGTAAATCGTCTGTATCAGCGTTTAGCGCAGAATCTGGTTTGAAGCGAGAACTCACTTGTCGTTCCACCAGGCCATGTACTGGATGTTGAGCGATCGAGCGATGATTTCCTGATCTCGGGCGAAAGTCTGAGGTGGGAAGAGTTCCATCAATGTGGCTTGCGGATTCCGCTGCATGAAGGCGCAGTCCACTAAGCCATTGTCATGAACACCGACCACAACCTTGGGTGGTCCGTTAGAATCCAGCCAGCAAACCATGACCAACTCACTGTTGAGCGCGTGATTGCACGCAATCGGTCACTCCAGGATGTCTCGCCATCAACATCGGAGACAACATGCACTTCAATACCATCCCGCTCCAGGTCCATCAAAGCTGCAACAAATTCGTTGTGGTCGCTGGGACTGAGTCGGAGTCCATCTGCATGAGACTGTCGAGAGACATATGTGACGACCTTCTTCGGTGCCTGGGCTCCGTAGACCTCGAAGTACGTTGCTAACGTCCGGCGCACTGGTTCCCACCAATGTTCTGAAGGTCCCTGCGCTTTGAAAGCTGCAGCGTAAATAGCCTCGTCATCCCGGACCCCATGGGTAGCGGCCGTCCGGTCTGCTACGACCAGTCGGTCAAAAACAAACGGTGCTCCCAGCTTGTGGTAATCCTCCCAGTCTCCGTAGTACATGACAGTCAGATGTGGGAAAGCAGCTTTCACCAGCTCAGGGTGAATTCCATTGACCACTCGCTGTCGTCTCGTGGTCACATCGGCGTGCACCGGATTCGGGTCGGTGAAGAATCCATAATAGGGATAAATTAGTCGTCGGGGAGGAGACAACTTGGTAACTCCATCGGGTCCGATGTCAGGATCAAGCATGCTGTATGCCCGCCATAGAGCAATCAGGGTCGAATTGTGCGGGGAAGAGTCTGCTCCCATCCAAGAAACACCGGAGATTCTGAGGACCAGTTCAGTAACCATCGACATGCAATATATGTAGGCCTCACCTTCCGCCGTAGGATCCGAATTTACGTCGCGCTTGATCAGGTGTGAGGACGTTCCATTTGTTCAAGTCTGTGGATAAGACTATATGCGACAGCGGCGGTACGCTTTCGGGATCTTCGGTAACGATATTCATGGTCCCATTGAATAAAATAATATTGTCCACTGTTGTGTAGCCTGTGCGGTGTCAATGTTCTGAGCGCAGTCCGAAGCGTTGCGAACTCACCAGGAACATGCTTAACCACTTTGCCCCTGGGCACGTCGTCGCCCCACCGCCAGATAGCCTGATCCACGGTTAACTGCCCAATGTCCGACTTCTGACTTCCCAATATCGCGTTTCCTAACCACATGGCACCGAAACGGCCCACACCCTTGGCCTGACCAGAGCCAGCAGCATCTCCGGCGACCTCTCCTTCCTGCCAGGCCCATTCGCCGTATATGGCTCGCTCCAACGCGTCCTGTGCACCGGAAATACGTATCCCGTCTGGACCCAGCGCACTGTTGCCGCCGAAACCAAGCCGGGACAAGACCGCGTTCTCTCGGCTGACGCCAACGATGCGTACTGTAGAGTCGATATTATATGAAAGAGCGAAGACGATGAGGGAGAATAGCGCGAGGGAAACTTCACGTCGGGTGGTGGAGCCGTCCACCTCATCGCTATCCCAAGGTGTGTAGAAAGAGAGCAAGATTTCGTAGCAAGTGCAGGACAAGCTGAAGCAAACAACGTCGTCCGCTTGACGCTCAGAACGGAAAACGTGATCGCATATTCCCTTTTACGGTTGCGTCGTTGACGAGCCCTGGATCTCGCCTCAGCCTCAATTAATTGCGACTTTGAGAGCTTTTCGCAGGTATTTTCTCCCATTCTCTTGCTATTCAAGTGACGTCGCTGTCTCGAAATAATTTGTAAGACAGTCCGTCACTCATCTCTGAATGTCGCAATCGCTGTTGGTCATGTCGAGAACGCCCTAAAATCTGCAAGATTCATTGTACTTTCGTAACTTGACTCGGATGTCTCAATGCTCTGGTTGCGGCACATTTCAGCTCGATTCGTTATGCGTTAGCCGACGACTGCTTTTGGAATCAAATTCCCACAGATTGTGGCTGTTTCAACCCCATGTGCGGGATGTGTGGCTTCATTTCGTACACGCTCATGCGCGAGGTGCCCGTCTCGCCTGGAAGTCTTATCAAGCTTGGCTTTCTTTGTCGTTGAATGGAACTTATCAAATGTATAGACTATTACCGAGGAGACTCGAGCGAGAAAGTTGTCCCTTCATTTTGGCGTTTTCTCGCGTGTTCGGTCCGATCAATCATCGCGGAAGGATTGGCCACCGGCCATCTATACTGCCGTCGACTGCTTCTCTGCATGCCATCCAACGGACGGTCCAGTGTCGCGCGCTACATGGCTCTTCTCAGTGGAATACGCTAGCAAAAGTCCCTCTTGTCAGAGGATGCGCGACTTCTGCTCCGATTTTTCCCAGGGTGATGGGCTGAACGTCTCGAGGCCCTGGAATGTGCCAAAACTTCTCGCCGTTTCTGCACTGTAGTTGCGCGAGACTGCTTCGCGAATCAGAATACTTTGCAGACACACCTCATCAGAATGGCCGCCGCAGAACTGGCACAACGAACGCAACCGAACCTCTGTCAGAGAAGGTTTGACCGTAACTTCATCTCCAGACACACCTCACCCTCACCAGCCATGCTTGACCCACCGATGTGCTGCTATGCGCAGTTCTGCTGGCACGGTTGCTCTCGGAGAGCGAGGGAACGGAGGCATCTGCGGCTGATCCTGGTCTGCCCTGGTCGAGTGGTGCGCTCTGGATACTCTCAGACTGGTATAAAATCACGCAGGGCTCCATCGACGCCCCAATTCCACTTCTCTTCCCACCTGATTTTCCCTTCTCCCCTTCTTCAAATTCGTCTCTGGACGATGTCTTTTAGCTGTTCCTCTTCCATCACTCATCTCGGCGGGCCCGAAAATGACCATGAAGCCGATGATGCTACTCTCCATTCGAGTTCCAACCTTCCCGGATCCCTGGCCAAGTTTAAGCCCCAGCCCCCGCCTCTGTCTCTCAGGAAAATGGACTGGACTGACGCGACTTGAAAACTGCCCCGCCCGACGAATGGCTCTCGGATCCTCGTAATCCGCGCAACTGGTCGAATGGCAGGAAATGGAGCGTCGTATCTATTGTATGTGGTTCACCCGCCCAGAACCATCAGTTTTCTCTGAAGCACTCAGGTTTCTTTCTACATGTCGTGTCCCCACTTTCGAGCTCTATTATGTCCCGGGACTTTCCGAAATCGCCGCTAAATTCAACATCGACAACGAGACCATCCTCGCGATGACGCTTTCGATTTTTTTGCTTTCTTTCGGGATTGGACTTTGTTTTGGGCTCCGTTGTCGGTGAGTGCATTGAGTCGTTTCCACGCACGCAGAACTGATTACTATCTTTAGGAAATGTACGGAAGGCGAGTTTT